TACTATTGCAAATGATATGCCATTATGGGTGTAAATTTCTTTCCTGGGCTACTATAAAGTCCCAAAGGCAACGTAACCAACGTAATCTGGCGAATTTCAATTTCAAATGTAACGTGCTATATTTGACCCTATAACTCCCCAAAACGTCATAAAACCTGTACATAGGGGATACTGTTTTACACGTGAGACTTTGCTGAATACAAATATGTGTATTTTATTGCAGTAAAAGCAAACATTATGACATTGCCTGTTAAAATGTCATGTAGAACTAAAAAAAAAACTTTTCTCCCATTTTTTTCATATTAAATTATGTTTCATAGCTAAATTTTTGATATTAAATGAAAGCCCTGTTTCCCCTGAATAAATGATATATAATAAGGGTGGGTGTATTTAATATGAAAGAGGTGAATTACAGTTGGACAGACATTTAGCGCAAATGCCAGGTTTTGTTTACATTTTGTTTTCTTCACAACGTGTACATTTGGCTCCGTCCTTAAGGGGTTAAAGACAGATGTTCAGGATCTTAAAGAAATATAAACTTAGTTTTTACTCTTAGTAAGATTTACAATGTGTGGATTATTTGCTTAATGTAAACACTATTCATTATACACAGCTGGACAGAGTTTGTTATTTACTAAGGTGATCTATACACAAAGTTCTATGGGCAATGTTTTATCAGCTAGCCACAGAATTTTAACCAGCTCATTGCTGACAAGTCAGTTCAAGCTTTTAACTCATACAGGATTTTAACTAGCTCACTGCTATTTCACAGAGTAATTAATTATGACTACATAATTCATCCAGTAACTAAATTCTTGCAGGTTTAGTTAAAAAAGTTCTTATCTGATGAATATTTCCTAGATTGTTATGATTAATATTCTTCTGGGAAACTCTTGATATTCTATGTTTATTTCACGATTTTAATTGGCATCCCATCTGCAGTTTGAGATACCAATCTTTATCATGAGCTATCATGAAACCCAATCTGGGGGTTTCAGATCAGCTTTTACCCAGAATAATACTAGCTTTTACTTATGTAATTTTATAATGTATTTAATTGGCTTATATTTACCGATAGATGTCTGCTGGAATCTCTGGAGTAGATTGATTCAGTGTTAATGAATTATAGTTAAAAAGTTCTGGTAGAGATAGGTAGAATTTCTAAGAACTTTTTCCCTGGTAGAGATAGGTTAAGTTTACAGATAAGGAAAGCGTAAGATAGTTTCAAGATGTCGTCTAGATTGTCAGATGTCAAGGGATTTCAGGAGATCGTCCGAGTAGTATGATGTTGATGTGAGATCTGATGTTTGTCCTCTTTTTCCCCTCTCTCTGTCTATATCATCGGGTTATATGTCATTCCTTATCTGTTAACCTTCTGGCCTGGTCCAATGAAATTTTGGGAGAAGTTTTTATGTTAATGGATTTTGCCCAGAAAATGTATAAATAGTTGACCATGTGTCCTCTCTTCAGATGCGATCTGGTGGACCATAAGCTCTTTCTGCCCATGGTACCATTACCTGGAAAGAAACTGCTTTAATTTCAAAGGGGAGCTCTTCACAGTTTTTGGTTTTTATATGGTTTACAGATGTTTCTTAAATATATGAATAAGTAATGTGTGAAAAATAGAATTGTAGAAATCCACACATCTATCCTGCAACAGTGTGCCTCAATCTTAGCTCCCTATCATCATTGTTATACGCTCTGAACATGGCAGTCGGGATAAAGAAAGGATACACTGGACAAATGAAATGATGAAGCATCTCATGGGGAAAAAAATAAATAAAAAATATTAACACGAGTTATATGTAAATTTTCAATGTTTTATGGAATGGTGTAATTTCCAAAGAGATGACCGTTCTACCTTAAGTTCTTTGCCAGCTGACATATGAGTATCCTGTTATTAAAGGACCACTCTAGGCACCCAGACCACTTCAGCTTAATGAAGTGGTCTGGGTGCCAGGTCCAGCTAAGGTTAACCCATTTTTTCATAAACATAGCAGTTTCAAAGAAACTGCTATGTTTATGAATGGGTTAAGCCTTCCCCTATTTCCTCTAGTGGCTGTCTCATTGACAGCCACAGGAGGCGCTTGCGTGCTTCTCACTATGAATGCTTTCCTATGTGACCGGCTGAATGCGCGCGCAGCTCTTGCCGCGCGTGCGCATTCAGCCGACGGGGAGGAGAAGAGGAGGATCGGAGGAGGAGAGCTCCCCGCCCAGCGCTGGAAAAAGGTAAGTTTTTACCCCTTTCCCCCTTCCAGAGCCAGGCAGGGAGGGGGACCCTGAGGGTGGGGGCACCCTCAGGGCACTATAGTGGTCCATTAATCTTGCCAACATTATTTTAGATGCATTTTTTTCCCCTTCATTTTTAATCTCTGAACTTGAGAAACAAATCAACTGACTGCCTCAGTTGAGCATTCTAAATTAGACTTCTCTCCTCCAGCCCGTATTGCATGGCTGAGCACTTGGTAGAGCCTGCTTCCATATACCTTGTCTATCAACCAGCCTCATTAGTGAAGGTACAGCACATGATTGAAGAATGCCAATACTTTACTAATGAGGCAGACAGGAGCACATAGTACAGGTGGCCAGCCTCCTCAAACACAGCAAAAAAAAAAAAAAAAAGTGTAAATATGGCCTTGATGGGGGACCAGACCACTAGCAAACTAGAACATTGAGAGAAAATCCAATGGGCAGCGAGGCACAGGCTGCATTAGAGTATTTCAGAGGCCAGCAATTGCCAGTGGGCCGGTACATGGAGACCCTTAAGATGAACAGTGATTCCGAACTAGAAAGTCCTTTCAGCTTCCTAAAAGACCATTAGAGGTGAAAATCAGTTCTCCAACATCAAGCCTCACCTTCACTTAAAATACAATATTAGAGGATAATATGTTAAGTGACCGAGCCATGGGTTGTGTCCAAACCTGATAATCACCTTATTTAGGCAGGTTGCCTGTCAAAGAGGCAAATGCCCATAATGGGTACTGCTGCTATATCACAGGCATATCCCATTTATTTACACAGCATCAATGAGCAACACAAACATTTTGAGGACAGAACCATAGAGCATTTTCACCAATTAAGGCGTATTGGTCACTGTTCATGGAGTATTATGCTTGAAGACGAGGAAAGAAATAAAAATCTGCCCATTTTCATTGCAGAGTCCAGCTGGTAATGCATTTTAATGTGATATGTGCTATAGCAGCCATGGCAATTAAACCAGACTGGAAAGGCACTGGTCACTTTAGGCTTCTTCACTAGTGCTTATGGTTAATAATTGAGTTAGGTAATTTATTAATGCTTGGCACTTTGTGTTTGATACATTGTATAACATTTTTATCCATGCTCCATTATATGGGGGGAGGGGGGGTGTGGTGTGTGTGTGTGTGTGTATATACACACACATATTTTCTCTCTCTCTCTCTCTCTCTCTCTCTCTCTCATACTTGGGTGCTTCCAGCACAAATAGATAAGTAAATAAACGGAGCACTCCTTAGGAAATTTTCCAATCGTGTATTTCAAAAGACAAACGTTTCGACCCTCAAGGGTCTTTATCAAGATCCAAGATAGAGAGATATATATATATAGATAGATAGATACATATATATATATATATATATATAGATATATACATACACACATACATACATATATACACACACACACACACAGACACTATATCTATCTATCTCAAGGCAATAAACCAAATGAATAAAATTACTCTCTCACAATTGGATTTAGACTTTTACTGTGTCCGAATTGTAGGTTTGATAAAAACGGTGACCTGAAATATCACCATTTGGCAAAACGTTGCTTTTTATATTTCCTGTGTAGGACATGCCACCTCCTTCTGATTTCAGGTCTTCTCACCAAGTTGAAATTGTACAAGACTCATAACTATAAGGAGGTTTACACACCTTATACAGGAAGGGATGCCAATAAAAGCCAGCTATGTAGCTATCACGGTGCTGGCAGTAACATTGTATGTTTACAAGACAGACATTAATGGCCATTGCAGACTTCATCCGTAATGCATACTGGTAATAAAAACAATCCTCATACGTACCAGCTCAACAATGTTACACTCCTTTATAAGGGAGGGGTCTTCATAATCTGATTATGATCAAAGTACTGTTTTCCATATGCAACATTAGTTGGTGGTGGTCCAAACACATGCATGAGGGGCTTGTTTTACCATAAAGTTTTTAGTTTTCTTTTTCAAAATTATTTATAAACTTATACATTTCAAAGTTTACAATTTTGAGGCAATTAATGGAGGTTACAATCGGTATTTAACATTAAACAAACTTTTAACATTGGAGATTAAGCAGCTTGGCACAGAGGTTCAGACAGCTTGCGAATTCACTAGCACGTTCATATGTCCAACGTAGCTTTAGGCATATGTAAACTAACCTCTGTGGTCTGCCACTGTGAAAAGGAGAAATCAAAGAAACAACTGTAATAGAGAAAAAAAAACAAAAAACAGTAAATCTTGAAAGGGAAGGAGAACCAGTCTACCTTTCCTGAGTGTGGGTGAAGTGACCTGGTAGAGTTTGGGGGTGTTAGTAGGGTTTCAGGTCTGCATTCAAGACTCAGTTCCAAAGTCTCGTATGTCGCCCATTGGCGTTTTGGCTTGGTTATGCATGGACCGTTGTGTAGCTGGTGTGGTGTGCGAAAAGTGGGTTGTCTGGTCTTCACGTCGAGCCTGTTGTGGTGTGGTAGCGGTGAGTCATACTATGTTTGGGCCTAGATCCTGTTACCAAAGTATTTTTATACTGGAATAAATTATTTCTACCTTGGACCTTGGTTGCCTGGTGGCTTGCACTAAGACTGATGAGCTGGTACATGAGGATTATTTAAAATTTTCCTGCTAACAGAACAAGTTCTCCAACCCAATGCTTAGAAGTCCAACGGTTTCACTAAAGAATGAGTTATGTGATCTTGCAATACTGGCAGGGAGTACGGTTTCTTTAATATTTATTCGGACATACCGGCAGGAATTCCTGACACTGGCAGAAAAACTGCTTCTTTTCGTATACGACAACTTAAAACTATAAAAGATATGAAAGGAACAAACGTCACAGACAGCTAAGTAAAAAATTATATTTATTCTTGGCATATAAACATTTTAATATTTGGCAAACAAAAGCCAAGTTAAACTGTACAAATCCACAGCTTCCAATGTATAGAAGATACCCTGGAAAAATATCTGAACGGAATAAGTTGCTGAGACTATAAAACATGATATTAAAGCGATTTAAATTTTAAAATATTTTCAAAAAGTCCTGTAGAACTAGTAAAGCCCAACAAGGAAGAAACCCGCTACTTTCATTATTCACAGCAAGTGCACTTGGAAGTCAATTCACAGAGAATCTTTTTTACAAAGGTAATTATTGGTGCCCTATTTTAACACACTATTAAAATGACAACTTTTCTTTATAGATAAGATGGGCATGTCGAATGACCAACCTAGAAAGTGAGATTTGCATGATATATATATATTTTTAAAAGTGTATTCGAGGTAGAATGTGTCATCACATTTTGGTTTAAAGTAATTTTCTGCATGTTTTGCTGAATGTTTAAATTATACTATTAAATAGTATGCAAATAGATGAAAGGCACTATAAAGAGAAATGTATAAACAAATTATACATTTTTCAACTCTTTACTGTATCTAGTGGTAGAGACCTACAAAATAAACATTTTGGACTGGCTCTCCCCACACTGCTAACTGCTTCAACATTGAGAAGGCTCAACCAGTCATAGGAACAAAAATGTTGGGTTTTCATGTATACATTTTAGGATTTCTTGCTCAGATTTCATTGCTGAAAAACCAGGCCTATTGCTCACATGGAACAGGCATTAAGCTGAAAGCATTACAGAGGAGTGGCAGGTGCACTTTAAACGTAGGCTACATGTCGGCAATTTTACAAAATTTCATTCTGATGTAAACAGGAAAAGACAATGTTCCTGAGTATGCTTTTGATTAGATAAGTAAAAGAAAGCTTTAACAAATATACATAATAGCACAGTAAAACCAAAATATAAAAATACACCTTACACCTCACATGATATATTACGATATACATTTCTTCACATATCAGGAAATTCACACAGTAAAAAAGCAAACCAAACCTTGTTAAAAAAAAAAAAAAAAAAAAACACAAAAAAACCACACAACAACAACATTGTTTAAGCGCAACGCCTGTCCCAGTTGTTGGTTATGTTAAAAAAAGGTTTAAATCTAATAGACCACAGTTTAATTTAGAGTGCGTTCAATTCCAATATGTAAACAAGCTACATATACATATAAAAAAAAAAAAAAGTTTTAAATTGACTTGCTTTTTAACTGTATAGTAAACACAAGCTAATAAAAATAATGTACTTCTATATTTGCATAAAGCGACATTAAGGACATACAATATTTAGGTAGACAATTGCTGACAGAAATATATTTTTGGATTCTTTGTATTTTAATTCTTACTAAAACTTGAAAAAATAAAAAAAAATCATCATACACAGACAACCAAAAGTTATCCGAAGAGCAAGTAAAAAAATTGGAACAAACTAAATACTTGTAGAACGCTTGATGTTGAATGAATCACATCACTATGCCGCCTACATATATCTATGTGGTCCCAGATATGATAAACCCTATATACAGAAGAATGTCAAGCAGAGGATGAGGACATTTTTACATAAATAAGCCTAGCAAACTAGGCAATCTATATCCAGCCTAAGCAGTAAATGGTTATAGATATACAAAATCAATATGCATATCTGCTTCAAATTATAAAACTATACACATTTTTACATAATAAATCAAATCAATAAAATAAAAAACTGTTCCAAAAACGGCAGACATGTTTTCTTCCACTGCTCATTGATGCTAATAGATATACTTAACAATGCGGTAAGGCACGCGTTGGCAATACGATTCCCAGTCAGCACCATATTTAGTTTTGCATAGTTGTTCATCCCTGATAGTTCGGTGAATAAGGAGACCAGTTAAGAAAATCCCATAAAAATAAGGCAAAAAGTGATCAAAACCTGAGAACAAAAGATATACAACAGAACCTTTAGTTTTATATTTTACTGCATAATTGTATTTTTATTCTTTCAAGACTGTGGGCAGATTCGAAGAGATAGACAGCAAGAGAGATAGACAATGTTAATTTGATGCATTGCAAGATAAATCTACGTTAGTTAAAGGACCACTATAGTGTCAGGAAAACAAAGCGGTTTTTCTGACACTATAGTGCCCTGAGGGTTCCCCCACCCTCAGGGTCCCCCTTTAGCCACTTACCTTATTCCAGCGCCGGCATCTCTCCGTCCCCTGCCGACATCAGCTGAGCTGAATGCGCATGAGCGGCAAGTGCCGCGAGCGCATTCAAGCGGTCAATAGGAAAGCATTTTTTAATGCTATCCTACGGAAGCTCTGCGCGATGGAGGCATAATATGCCTCCAGCGTCGCAGATGCGCCTCTAGTGGCGGTCAGGAAACTGCTATGTTTGCATCTGAAGGGTTAAAACCTGAGGGGCATTGCACCCAGACCAATTCATTGAGCTGAAGTGGTCTGGGTGACTATAGTGTCCCTTTATATAAAGCTTTGAAAAAAATATCAATATACATACACATTAAACTGGGTGCCTCATTGCAACCAGACCAAACCACATGTTTATTTTCCTAGGGCTAAAGCCAGCGCCAATGGGGTTGGGTCAGGCTCATCTGCCATCAGCTGGCAGGGGGACCTAATGCCCATGCGCAGAAAGATGTGCTTACATTAGGACTACCCCATAGTAAAGCATTGCTCAATGCTTTCCTATGAGGTTATATAGAACACTGGATGTCCTCCTGCACAGCATGACTAAAAGTCTCCTAAGGACCTGGAAGTGCCTCTAGTGGCTGTGTAGTAGACAGCCACTAGAGATGAAGTTAACCCTGCAAGGTAATGATTGCAGTTTATCAATAACTGCAATTACAATGTGTCTCTCATTCACCCCCCTCCCCCAGTGTCTCATTCCCGCAGCCCCCCCGCCCAATTTCCATTTAGCTTTGACAAAAAAAAAAAAAAGCCTTTCTAGTTGAATTTAAGCAACTTAAATAGTTTTAGTTTAATAAATCTCCAAAGTCTAACTATAGAAGTTAGACTAGTTCCTTTCCCATTCACACTTCTAATAAATAATATACATATCAAAAAATAAGATCTATGCATCAAAACAACATATTAAGATGATGTGACTTCAGTGTATAGTGTGCCTTCAAAATATAAACTAGGAAATGTTAATAGAAAAACCAGGATGGGGAATGTGATTATACCAATACATTTAAATACTTACCACATGGCAGGCACCATGCCCAGGCCATGATGATATCACCCAAGTAGTTTGGATGACGAACAAATCCCCACCATCCAGAGACCAGCAAATTTTTTCCAGCGGAAGTTGGAATGGTTCTCAAGTCTAGATAAAGACAGAATATAGAGCAAAATAAATAGCAGGCATTCTAGAAGATTATTTGTCTGGTAAATGTAATCATGTGGTTAAGAAGATTTACTCACGAGCAAGCCTTGGATCATCTGGATTCTTTTTGAAGCTATGCTTCTGTTTATTTGCCCCACGGAATATAATGTATCCAAGAGCTTTAGAAAAACACAAGGCAACACCATGTTTCTATAAAATGCTCTAGAATTATACATCACATTTTGCCATTTTACATTGTATACACACACACACACACACACACGGCAGGAGGTGCTTCCCCGGCATAAATCTCCTGGAGAGCTTCCCCATTTACCGGATATCATCTTCAAGAAGTTGCCGTTCCACCTCTCTTTTATTCATAATTCTACCACGTGGGCCCTCTTTATTACAAGCCTAATTGGTCGCCGGTTTTGGCACAACTCAAACGACTTTTATATATTCAACTTATGTGTGATGTTTAGTTCTATTCGGCTTATGTTCTCGACCACAAATTTTTTTATTTTAAAAAAAGTTTACTGGGGCACTAAACATGTATAGCCAAGACCATTAAAGGACCACTCTAGGCACCCAGACCACTTCAGCTGAATGAAGTGGTCTGGGTGCCAGGTCCAGCTAGGCTTAATCCATTCTTTTATAAACATAGCAGTTTCAAAGAAACTGCTATGTTTATGAATGGGTTAAGCCTTCCCCCAATTCCTCTAGCGGCTGTGCGCTTGTGTGATTCACACTGTGAAAATCACAGTGAGAGCACGCAAGCATCCATAGGAAAGCACTGATAATGCTTTCCTATGTGACCGGCTGAATGCGCGCGCAGCTCTTGCCGCGCGTGCGCATTCAGCCGCATGGGAGGAGAAGAGAAGGATCGGAGGAGGAGAGCTCCCCGCCCAGCGCAGGAAAAAGGTAAGTTTTTACCCCTTTCCCCCTTCCAGAGCCGGGCGGGAGGGGGATCCTGAGGGTGGGTGCACCCTCAGGGCACTATAGTGCCAGGAAAAAAAGAGTATGTTTTCCTGGCACTATAGTGGTCCTTTAAGTGCAGTAGTTTTCAAAGCAACAATTAAACAGTTACCAGCTATGTCACATTACAATTTCCGCAAGATCTGGGACTTCTAGACTTCACACTATATCATTATACCTGTACAGATCATCAACAAAAAAAACCTGTAGTTTGTTTTTTTTACCCCCACTCTCCATGCCCATCTCTATTCTTATTCAAATATAAATCAGAACAACATGTCACTATTGGATTGATATTGTTCTTGTTTGAAATTTTTCTAAATAGCTAGACAATTCTAAGTGGGTGAGACAAAAACTAAACACCAACTCATTAAAAATAGTATTGCAAGATGCAACAAGTCTGCATTAATGTCTGCAGAATATGCGCAATTGTAGGTGTTAACTTGCAATATCCATAAGACGTTTGAAGCATACAAATTAAATGTTGATGGTATCGTGCTTTATTACACTAAGAATGGAAGAAACCTACTGTTTAATGCAACAATAGCGCCAGCGGCAGGCCAGGAAAGAACCACTGAGTGATTGACCAAGTAGAACGCTTGCAAACTATAAATGAATGGCACCCACACAAGGTTACCAAAGGCAAGCATAAACCCAAATCCGTCATGTACGATATCCATACATGTCACAGCGCCTTCCTAAAAAGGGGAAAACAAATGAAATATTTAAATCAAAATACAGAACACATTTCTATTAGAATCTATTTTTCACTCACTAAAGTCAATTGAAAGATGTGCATAACAGACCGGGCAAGAATATCACTTCTGTCAGAATGAATAATACAGGCAAGTCCAGACTAGACAAGACAGGAAGTTAAAATGTGTATTAGTGGGGAGCATGACTTGCTGACATTTTAAATGCTCAGGGACATCTGGAATTAATTTCAAACCATCCATACATTAGAGGCCATTTAAACAGTCAGGGATACACTCAATTACTGGCTCATAAATTCATGTTTAAAAATAGAATGCATTAACACACAAAGGGTTAACTATGGAGCATGATGATTAGACTGAATAGTATATAACAGAGTGAAGAATTTCGGGATGCTATCCTCTGATGAAGTGATCCAAAGATCACGAAACGCGTAAGGCAGCATCCTACACAGAATCTTAAGTGACAGCAGACTGGAACGCATCCAGAGCCGCAGTGGAACACATGCGGCTGACAGCCAGTGTTTATACAGCACGAGGAGGTCCACACTCACTTTTATCCGGCCGATGAGAGAGTTACGAACAATCTTGGACCCTCAGTCTACATACCTGGTACTCTTTGCTTTTTCACTTGTGACATTTTGTTCATTTTACTTATGAGTCTTTTATGTGTGTGTGTGTGTGTGTGTATTAATGTGCCAATAAAAACTTTTGTAATAAGCACTCTGTCGGCAACACTATATAATTGACACTATTTTAAAGGATTTTTTTTTAACCCCCTATGGGGTATGAGTTATTTTCTGACTTATTTCATTATATTTCAGTTTGTATTGGTTCTCTCACATTGTTGTTTCAGAACCACTACTATATTATTTCTCAGTAAGTCTCGGTTTCCCCTACACATTCATATAGGAGGTGTTGATCCGGTCAGCTGATACATTTCTATTCTACAATCTATAAAGACATTTTCACATCTTTAAGTTTAATTTCCACGGAGTCCTGCTAATACTATTGACCTATTCAATAGGCACATATACTTGATGTTTAAAAATAGGGCTGTATCTTCATTTGAATTGAAAGCCTACAAGATATATCCTATACCTATTATCTAGGTGCCTTTGCATTTGAAACACCTGTGGTGTACTAAACTACTGTATGTACGTTAATGGTATTCTTAAAATCTGAAGATGCCAGACGCAGCAATAGATTACAAAAATCGCAGACAATCTTAGGCATTCACTCTGTAGTAGTGAGAGGCAAAGGAGTTTTGAATAAATGCCAATTGATTCAATGCTTCCCCTTACAGTACAGAGTTTTATTCAGAAAGTGAAAGTGCCTCACTATGACAGCCACTAAAGTGAATGTAAAGTGAATGAAAGGGTTCCCAACACTATAGTATACCATTAAATCAAATCTGAAAAGTTGTGCTCCACCTGTTGGTCAAAGAAAATTTTCAAGAATTGCTACAGCTACAATTACCTCATTCCACAGGGCATGTGCGACGTACAACAGTTGAAAACTGTTAACAAGGATCATAGGCACAGATGGCACATCATTTTCCTGAACACGCATTTCAGCTAAGAGCATTATGCCATTAATAAGTACCTAAAGAATAAAAATACAAACATGCATTTAATCCTTTGATGGTCTGTTTCAAAATGTTACGTAACACAGGTTTTAGACAAACTGGGGCTTATTGTATGATAGGTTTAAAATACGGTATATATTATATGGGGGGCAGACTTACCCAGGCAATTAACCCTGGACGAAGTGCAAAGAAATATTTCAAGTCAAAACTTCCAATATGAGGGTTTAACTCACGGCCCATAAAAAAGTGATATATGAAGTTTCCTACAAAGGAAGAATTTTACATACATAAAAAAAATGCTAGTAAAAAACAACAACAACACAGACTCAAATCTGAATTTTCCAATATAAATACATTACCATAGCAACCAATAAAATTGGTTGAGAGAATATGAGAATGAATGAATGAATATATGTAGGTATTCTTTCTGATTAACTGGGTTTTGAGAACCTGGTTTGAAGTTTAATATTTATTATTGTAAAAGTTAAAAATATATACGAAAGAACTGGGTGGCTTACACGTCTGTGCTTCTATCACGATACTATGCCAATCAGCATTTCCTCAGAGAAAAATTGACCCAATGTGGACCAATCAGCGCCATCATGCCAGGTGTGAAGATGCCAAATGTCTGTCCTGCAAAAATTGCAGGAACACTACTAGAATGCCCCTCTAGTGGTGACAGCCACTACAGCTGGCTTTAGGAAGAAATGTAAACACCCCTATATCTAAAAAAATAAAAAGTTGCAGGGACAGGCTATATGCCCCATAAACAATATATTAAACAGCTGTGGTTCTGGTGCTTATGGTGTCCTTTTAAAGGACCACTATAGTGCCAGGAAAACATACTCGTTTTCCTGGCACTATAGTGCCCTGAGGGTGCCCCCACCCTCAGAGTCCCACTCCCGCCGGGCTGGATGGCAAGGAAAGGGGTTAAACTTACCTTTTTTCCAGCGCCGGGCGGGGAGCTCTCCTCCTCCGATCTTCCTCTTCGGCTGAATGCGAATGCGTGGCAGGAGCTGCGCGCGCATTCAGCCTGTCTCATAGGAAAGCATTTATAATGCTTTCCTATGGACGTTGGTGTCTTCTCACTGTGATTTTCACAGTGAGAAACACGCAAACGCCTCTAGCGGCTGTCAATGAGACAGCCACTATAGGCTTTATAGGCTGGATTAACCCATTTATAAACATAGCAGTTTCTCTGAAACTGCTATGTTTATTTTAAAAAAGGGTTAATCCTAGAGGGACCTGGCACCCAGACCACTTCAATAAGCTGAAGTGGTCTGGGTGCCTAGAATGTTTTTTTGAGGAGGAAGTAATTCTAGTGACTGTCAGCCTCAAATCTAAAAAATGATTTTAAATGGAAACAGCATGATTTAATATTCCCAGATAGAACACACTACATTAAGATTTATTTGTTTAGATGCGCTTTGTGCCTCCTTTTACGGATTAAAACCATACATCTTCTACTAAGCTCTGTACCTAATGTATGGTAAAAGGAGCAGCAGCAATTTGTCCACCCTATTCCTGGTGATATATGCCACTTTCCCCAAAGATCTTCCACACTCAAAACTAAAATGCACAATTGAGACAAAAAATACTGCATGGATAGATCTTGTATGACTCAGACAGCTAAGTGAATTAAATAGGAGTTATGTGACAATGTAACAATATCTAATAAACCAACTTTTATTGGTTGATTTCGATGTGATTGATTATTCCTTGTTTACACTCTGGTTTTCATTTCAAAACTTTATTAAGGAATAGAAAGCAATTCTCACTTTTAACATGGGACGTGAATATATGGACCTCACCCTGTTAACAGTTTGGGCAATACATACTTTACTACAACTGAGACTACAAACATACTCTATTCACATATCTAAGAGATGCATTGAATTTAAGTTCTACCAAACATCACACTCTTCTATTCAATTTACTGTTGGGTTCTGCTGATAATCTTTCACACATTGTTTGATTTACTTTTAATCTGATCGAATAAATGGCATTTTGTGTCGAATATCACCTCTTCAGAACAATTTTCACGATTAGGACCAGAAAGTGACTAACCATACTGTTTTTCATAGTGCCATCTAGTGGCTCTGATTTGTTAATATCACTCCAAACAAAATTACTACTACATCCAGTGGTTATGGTAACAGGAGTGTCCCAACATTATCCCAAGGTAAGATGTTGAACACAGTTTCAGAACTCACATGGGTCCCATTGGGTGTCTGCACCACATCCATTCTTCCCTGCAGAAAGAGCTATGTGTCTCTGTAGAGAGACCATCTGCTTAAAGTGCTCACCTGATACTCTGAGCCAACAAGCGCGGTCCTGCATAGTCCCCCCTTTGCTCTATTGAGCAAAGAAAATGGATGCAGGGAATAAGTCCTTAGGCAAAGACACATTTGCTCTGAATATAGGAGCCAGCTAAAAAAGTTAGAAGAGTTTTTTTTTGTTGTTAATTTACAAAGCTTTATTTTAAATGACAAAATAAAATTCTTAAAGGGACACTATAGTCACTTGGTTCTGGTGTTTACAGCCTGTCCCTGCAGGCTTTTCAATGTAAACAGAACCCGGGGTAGAGTCAGCGCTAATCAGAGAGGCAACTGTCCCAAACAAGGACTCCCTCTAGTGTCCTTGGAAATCAAATGGTAGAAACAAGAAAGATGGGGGGATGGGTCTGCGCCGATGTGTACACCGAGTGTTGAGTCCAATAGAATATATATTTTCGTGTCCAAAGTTCTACTTTTGGTGGTATTCAGAAGGTATCGGTGTGCCTTATATTGGTGAAACGCGTTTGGATATTTTTTACTATTTTATATATTGTCAATAAAAGATTTTGGTCATTTTTACGGTTAAACCATCATATTTTCTATTACCTGGCTATTTTATAAATTTTTATTTACATTTTACCTCTTATTATTTTTTAAGTTCTGTATACCATACTCCAAGAATCCCAGGTGGGGATCATACCACCTACGCTGTTACATAGAGCAGTCAGTCTGCCCTATACATTGTGAGTATATTTTATTATTTTATTTTATCAATTAAGATTTTATTGAGAGCACTATCGCTGTTTTACCTTCTCTTCGAGCTCCTGATATTCCGGTCAAGATCACTCCTCATATATCCTATAAGCGGGGATAATACCGCTGCACGCCTAACCAACTAGAGCTAGCCTAAGCTCTACCGAATGTGAGTGTATCTATCATATTTTATATATATATTTTTTTATTAGTGTAGAATATACTGCACCATTACTGTCTACATTTTATCTTTCCCAACTTCGGCCACCCGTTACTGCAAAGAAGAGGACACCTGCTGAATATCCTGTAAGCGGGGATAATACCGCTGCAAGCTATCCACACCAGAGCTGGATTAAGCTCTGTAAATTGTAAGTAAGATCTCTTCTATTTTTATTTGGACCACTCTCCACGACACCGATACCTTCTGAATACCACCAAAAGTAGAACTTTGGACACGAAAATATATATTCTATTGGACTCAACACTCAGTGTACACATCGGCGCAGACCCATCCCCCCATCTTTCTTGTTTTCAATGTAAACACTGCAATTTCAGAGAAAAGGCAGAGTTTACATTGCTGCCTTGTGACATCTTGTGACAGTCACTCAGACGGCCACTAAAATGCTTTTTATCCAATTGCTGCAGTGCTGATACATTGAATCTATGAGGAAATGCTGATTGGCGCATCATTTGCAGCACATGAGGTGATTCAGAGGTGAGTAAAAACACCATTTCCATGTGATCAGAGGGGGGCTGGTCACTATATATATATATATATATATATATATATATATATATATATATATATATATATATATATATATAATATGATGTCACTCCGATCGGCATCCCGAAGCAGCGAGTGAGGGAGCAGAGCAGGGAGAAAACAGCTCCCTCGCCATATGCCTACAGTACGCACAGCCGGCCACCCACTGGACCCCAGGGAAAGCCGACCCACTCCAGCTCTCCCAAAGGTAGGGAGGATGGGTGGAATAAACTTGAATTAAAACACAGTGTGTGTGTGTGTATGTGTATGTATGTATGTATGTATGTATGTATGTTTAATATATCTATATCTCTATATCTCTATCTATATATATATATATCTCTATATCTATATCTTAAACATACATACATACATACATTCTCACACACACACACACACATATTTACATATACACACATACACACACACACTGTGTTTTAATTCAAGTTTATTCCACCCATCCTCCCTACCTTTGGGAGAGCTGGAGTGGGTCGGCTTTCCCTGGGGTCCAGTGGGTGGGTGGCTGGCTGTGCGTACTGTAGGCGTATGGCGAGGGAGCTGTGATCTCCCTGCTCTGCTCCCTCACTCGCTGCTTCGGGATGCCGATCGGAGTGACATCATATTCCAGCCCCAGCATCAATTAGGGGTGCACGAGGTAACAGAGCAGGGAGATCACAGCTTCCTCGCTTCCCGTCTACAATCCGAGCAGTAAATTGCCAAACCATTATAGCATAGTTTTACAACTTACCATGGGAAAGCGCCAAACAGGCTGTAGTGGTTTTGGTGCTTGAAGTGTTCCTTTAAATAGGTAAATTTTTCAAATGTACCTAAGTCACTTATTGGTTGTGCTAAATTAGTTTTTTTTTTTTTTTTAATAAACACACCTCTTTATATTTTCTTTTATCTTAATTAATATGCATTGCAAATTTACATTTTTTTTTTATCACAAATACGGTTTTTCATTATTTTCACTACACATCAAGTGAAGTTTTATATCTTTCTTGAGATCCAAAATAAGCTTCTTGCAAGTACGTCACAGTAGCAAGCTTGTATTTCCTTATGTGCACCAAGATGAATGCTGGATGAGCCCACACTAATCAAAACCCTTACTTCTAGAGAATTTAAAAGCAGAAACACCATGTTTTCATGAAAGTGCCCTACTTTTTATAGACCATAACAATGTACTATATGAACATACTCTAAAACTAAGAGAATTCCTAAAAACCATTCAGGAGGAGGGTGGGGACAAACATTCTTACCTGCATTCCCTGCAGGAGAAAGATCTTCTTTTGGTGCTCTATGAGAACGTGCATAAAGATAGATACTGAGCAGCACAGAGATAATTGTGCCAGAAGCCGCAAATTGTAGATAATGGTCGTAGACATAAACAAAGTTGATCTTGTAGTAAATCATTACTCCTACAATTACTGAACTCAGTAATAGAGCCCAAAATCCTGTAAGAGTTAAAATAAAATCCAAAACAAAACATTGATCAGTGTATTTGAAGTCAATGCTACAAAATTCATAAACATGTGTTGGACAGGGGTTCATAGGAGAATTAAAAAGGAAAAGGAAACACCATTTACCATAATGAGAAACTTGTACAACGTCAAGGAACAAGGAATAATTACAATTATTTATATAGCGCTAACATATTCTGCAGTGCTGTACAATAGGTAAAACAAGACAAACCATTGTAACACATTTGACATACGATAACAATAGATGAAGTGTTTCTTGCCCAAATAAGTTTACAATCTAAAAGGATGATGGACAAGTATACAGAGGGATATATTTGAAAGGATGGAACAGGTGTTTGAGAGGAGTATAGTTGGGTAAAGACAAGAAATTCATGCATTTTGTTTTTAGCACTGCATAGTGAGCAACACTCACCCAATCTGGAGGGAATGCCTCTCCCCCATCCCTCCCAAAGGGTTCCCATGGCTCAGTAGCCTATAATCTTCATGTGCAATTTGAAGCAAGATTTGAGTTATGTAATGGAATAGTGGACTGCATCAAGCAGCAGATGCCCAAGCTGATGACAGGACTATGCTGTCTGTCTGCATAGTGCAAATTGTAAAGTGTGGCAGAGAAAGATTAAGTTGGGGTTGCCTTGTGTGATTTAAGCAAAAAAACTGTTTATTCCTGTTAATTGACATCTTTACATTTCAATTAGTATAAAAACAGAATTACTTCAACTTCATGGGAACTATATAGGGAAAGTTATTTGTTGTGCAATTGCAATGCCACAGTGCACAAACAAGTTCCATTCAGAAATGGTTTTTCAAGATGTGTGACGAAGACGCTGGCTGAAGAAATTTAGGTTGTGGTTTTCTGCAGATCTAACACATCTTGGATGAACTGCAATTCAAACTGTGGATCTAGCCCAATTGTCTAAAATCAGTGCTCAGCCACACTAATGATCTTGTGGTTCATTGGGAGCAAATGCTTTATGCAAAGCCTTGCAGGATGAATGAATTATATAACATAAGCATAGAGGAACCAAACTCCCCATAAATGCTCATGATATTGAAATGAGACTCAATGAATAGAAGATGAAATGTTACCATTTTATTTTCCATTACACCAATGTAGTTTAAAGTGAAACTACCCAATTTTAAAAATAAGATGCAAAGCATTTAACATTTTTTTTTTGGCAGTTTAATCAGTACTTATTTGAAACATGCAAACATTACTCACAAAGTACATTTAAAACAAAATAGAGTTGTCATTTTAGGAGGGAGGAAAGGGAACTAAAAGATTACACTTTCTCACTTCACTACTCAAAGTTTCTCCAAGAAAACATACCATTAAGTCTATACTGCAGCTTCTTCTCATTCGCAAGAGGCAGACCAACAGCAATCTACAAACATTCAGAAAATCAGTTAATAACCTGAATACAAAACAACCAATTTAAAAAGAACACACTATTTCTCTCAATGGGTGGTCAGCGAAAGTCCGCTGACGCTGTTAGCCTATTACGGATTGTAAATTTCTCAAACGGCAGTACATAGAGAAACGAAGCAGAACCGCAGGAGCCCCATCTTCAGAGTTAAAATGCTGCAGATCCATTAAACTCCTGAAGATAATATGGAACCCAGACACTCCTGTACCCGTAACAACTTAATTGAGTTTTGTTATGGGATAGGAGTATTCTTTTAACAGAAACCTTAAAAGGTTAGAAGTAGATTTTATCTTATTTTGTAGGTCTCTGTCAATCATTTTCTGCACAGGATAACTAATTTGGTTTTTAAAGGGACACTAAATACTAAAGACACTTACAATGATTGATCCTTTCACTCTGGACCCTGTGTAACCATTTATATGCATCCACTTATTGTACCTTAATCCAAAGTCCCAGGAGTTGTAACCTGTAATTACCTAAATAGGCATGTGGCACTTAGCAACATCATTATTGATCCCATGTATGATATTGAATGGGATTTAACTGTGTGGTATAATCAACTTGAATACCTGGATTATAGTGACCTGCAAGTTCCGCAAATGTTTTGCTTGTACCATAAATAGAATGGTTTTCTCTCTCTATGGAGTATAGATATGTATGATAGGTAATATTTGTATAAATAAAAGGAGACCACACAATAACCAGACATCATCCAAGACTAATTAAGTTAAACGATTTGAAAAGGTTAAAGTTTTTGTTATATGGTTATGAAATTATGGTTGGAATCCCCTTAAGCTTTGAAAACACGCTGTACGTCCCCACTATGCATGGGGAGGCCAGCGCCACCCAAAACCCCCATAGAAAAGCATTGAATAAGGTTTTCCTATGAGAAATCCAAATGAGAGCACTGCCATTGGCGCTCATGCGCATTGGGACTCGTGCTGGCAGAGATGGAGAGAATGCGAACCCTAGCCAGCACAGAGGGCATAGTTCCAGTACAAAGGTAAGTGACAGAGGAGTGTGGGGAGGGTAATGAAGGTACATTAGTGTGTAGATCATGTCCCTGCTGTTTCACTGAGCGATTCTCTGCTGTTCGGGCATTAAATCACTGTTTATGCAACCCCATCGACTCCTCCCCTGGTTGTGGAGTTTCATTTTTACAGCACAGTCTTACTTTGGAAGAATGTTAAATGAACATCAAAATCACATACAATAGTGTCGCTTAATGTAGTTAGAGCTGGGAGACTATGCAACATCAGTTTGCGTTATGGACAAAAAGATTTGACAGAGAGGAGAGTGAGCAGCAATGAGAAAAATTAAGAACCCAATCTATTCTTACATAATGGCATATACAGTTAAATATATCAAAGTATAACCATTAGTTAACCAAATAAAATGTATTTGCTAAGAATGTTTTGCATTTGAACATTTCCAATCGGTTTACCTTTCCAAGAGGCAGAATGTACAACAGTGCTTGCACAGACAGCCAGAGGACAAAAAATCCCATAGTTGTTGGATCCCATAATGTTGTAAACTGAAATTCTGAAAGAAAATTTTCAGCATCATGTTGAAGACACATATTCAGCAAGTAGAACAATGTAGTGGGCATGGACAAAATCATAAAAGCAGCCCCTGCAAAAAAAAAAAAAAAAAATCATTTTTAGTTATAGCAATATATGATGTAGTAACTCAGGGTACCTATAGTCAATAATTCTCTGAACCAAAGAGTGATTGACACCCAAGTCCAGCATGTCTTTCTCACTACTATTAGTTTGCTCTCGTTTTATACCTCTTTAAAGCATTTATTTTAACGTTAGAGAGAGGGCTATGTTCAGGCATATCCTTGCTTATGGTTTCAATGTGTTGAATTTGACTCTCAACATTTTCTAATACATTAATATATTAAGCACCTTTTGGCATCAATGCTCATGTTACACACACAAAGAAATATATACAAATCCTTTAGAAAGGAAAAAACATATCCAAGCAAAGCAAAGGGGCAAAAACATAAAATAAATCCCTGAACATTTTCTAGTTCAAAAATTGTTCAAGGGTGATTGATGAGGTCGTATTTATATTATATTTCTGCTTTGAAAATACATTGTCAGAATTCTTCACCAAAGTTAGGAATTCAAAGTGAATTTCAAATTGAGGCAAAAATAGAGGAACAGGAAATATTGTCCAAGTCCATTATGTACAGCTACATTGGCCCTACATTTTAAATACACCATGAATTCCTGACAATTCTTACTTAGTGACTAACCTTCTCAGTCCAAGAGTTATATAAATATCTAGATCTCAAATAACTGATCAACAGTAAAAATGATATTGGGTTGAATTATAAAATACTTTTACCCCGCATGTCATACGTGCAGAATGTTCGACCTCTTTCTTGCTACAATCCATTTTTCCTTTGATTTATAAACCCCTGGCACTATGTAATTCTCGTTTTTTCCTACACATTTTCCATTTAACATTGAGCCGGTGGAAATGCCTTCACCAACCTAGACTCTGTTTTTAACTCTGCATTAGAGAACCTAGACCAGGGGTAGGCAACCTACGGCACTAGTGCCATGCACGGCACTCGAGGCTGCTAGAGCCAAACACACTCTGGCCTATCAGGAGTCCCAGTAAAACTTCAGATATCTAATACGAAGAGGTGGTGAAGGACAATCCTCAATTTATGCATTGTAGCACTAGGAGGCAGTGATCTCGGATCACTTCCTCCCAGCACTTGTGAATGGGAATCCACACTGTAGTAGAGCAGCTATCGCAGCTCCTGTTCTTGACCTGTACCTTGCCAGCCTGGTCTCCACTGGAACAGAAATACACAGAAATGCAGAATAACCCTCACCTCATACAAATAATATGAACAGCCCCCACACACACACAAAAACACACAATCCCCACAAATGCAACACCACTAACAATCCACATACATACACAAATCCCCACATGCAGCCTCACATGCAATACCCTAAACAGCCCCCACACACTACCAAACACACAACGTGACACATCCATCCACACACAATTCCACAAGCAGCCCTCATACACAGCAATTACAGTAAAAATAACAAGCAGAATACGGCAGCATACATACCTCAATTAAAAAAAAAAAAAAAATAGGATCGGCACGCTACGGGACATCACAATCCTATAGCGGCACAGTGCTGCTAAAAGGTTGCCTACCCCTGACCTAGACTTTTAACATAATACACATACTTTATAATCCCAATTCCTCTTTCAATGTACCTTATATCCATTCATGACCTTTTGATTTCCAATACTGCAAACTTAGTTAAAACTTGAAGTAACACAGCCCTGCAGCTGCGTAGTACTCCGTGCTCCCAGCAGAGACTCTATTCCTGGAACTTCCCAAGTCTCTGCTGCTTTAACACCACACCCAAATCAGTTTACACTGGGTTCAATTGCCACTCACACTTTGTGAGATAAGTGTAAATTGGGCCCTGCTTTTGGGCAAAATACTATATAAAAGCTCAAAAGGCATCCAAACTTATGCTCGTCAACCAGACCCCATTGAACAGACATTTGGAGAAAAGTGCATGTAAACTGGTAATAACCAGGTGACAATTATTCTCAAAATGCTGCCTAGCTCACGCAAAGAATATGTTGAAAATGTTTAACAATTTACATCAATGTTACAATGTAGGACATACCTATTGAACCTCCAAACTCCAGCTGCTTTGAGCAGATCACAACAGGCTTCACATGAGGCATAACCAGTGTTTTCAAATCAGGTTTCTCAACCGGCCTCTCAACAGGTTTCTCAACTGGCTTCTCAGTAGGCTTCTGTTCTACGATATCAACAGTTTTTTTCATCACAATATCTTCTTTTTTTCTAATGGGGCTGTATCGCAATATTTTTTCATTCACTTCGTTCACTTTTGCCTAAATAAGAATTTGAGAGCTCATTAAAAAAAAAGAAGGGAAAAAAAGTACCTGGTTTCACCTTTTCAAAACCATGCAGTATAGAGAATTTATTCCCCATGCATGTTACAGGATGGAAAAAAAACTCCAGGCAGGAATCTGTAAGAATTAAAATGTCAGTCTAAGCACCAAAACAGTTTGATGGAATGGTTTTGGTGTATAAATAATGCCATTCTCTGCCATTTAGGAGTTAAATCACTGTTCTGCAGCCCTAGTCACATCTCCCCTGGCTGTGACTCACATGCCTCCCTACTGCCTGAAAAATTGTGTTCATTTGCAACCTATTATACATAGGCAGAGTGTTTAATTTAGAAGTTATGATCTCTTCTCTCCCCCCCCCCTCCAGCTTCCAAATGTTTGTACAATCCACACACAAAAAAAAAAAAAAAAAGAGATTAAGCTTTGTACAAACAATTATGGTGTCAATTTACTGTGGTGGAACTTGTGAACTTCCAATGTTTTTAAAAGTTATAATTAACATTAGATCACATGCAAAAAGGTACTCGTCTTTTTAATTATGATTACACGTGTAAAATCTCTGGTAATACACAAAAAGCTTGCATTAACATCAGATGTGCCTGAGGATCTTCAATATAGCATTTTTTAAGCACAGTTGATTAACTTAAAATGTGAGGACTGTTGGTAACAGATCCACTGCCTACTATAAAAGGTAAAATTAAACTGGTATCCCTTCTACTTTACTGCAATGTCATTTGAGTATATTGGCTAAAAATTAATAAATAAATAAAAAATACCTAAAAGCTGTATTTAAGCTAGCCATACAAAGTCATGTGCATGGCCACGCCTCACTGGGACCTTGCTAGTCTCACCAGCGGCTTATTACTAGAGGTTGCCAGATGAGGCACTTCTACACCATCTATCTTTCTTACAGCACTTTTATTTTTGAAGCAGCTACATAGATTTAGGTCTAATTCACACAATTATTACCATAATAAAATAGAATATGTAATTTTAATATGCTGAATTCTGTAGATCTGACATATATAAAAACAAATACCATACTTACCCGAGTAACTCTGTGATGCAAAACATTAGGTTCATTTCTCGTGGGGTCACCATTGTGTTTCCCAATATTATAATCATTAAGTCTCTAAATTGAAAAGGGAAAAACAAAAAGTTAAACTACAAGAATACACAAGTCTAACAATGGGTCTCATTAAGTGACTGACACTAATATGGAGTATGATATTTAAAATACAAAAATTGAGTTTTAATCTGAACACTTATCAATTATCACATTGACCATGATTTGACTACTTTTCTGTACTTATTCTATTCTCAAAAAATAATAAATACCCCACAAAAATGTATTCCAGTTACTTTGAAAATGACAACTTCCACGTAAGCCCTTTATGATCTCAGGAAACAAATATCTTTATACCAGTCCTTCATGATTGATTTGTACATTGAAATCCTATCACTCAGGACATGTAGTTCCAGGTGCCGGGCGGGCAGATATTTATTGGCTATTAGTTCTGCCACATGCAAGTGGCAGGGGAACGTGGGGAGGACAGTGTTATGGTAGAGAGCAGGTTGTCAGCATCTCTGGCAACGGTAAACCAAAATAATCACACCCTCATGGTAAGGCATTCACTAATGAGCCAAGCACAAAATTATAAACGCAACACTTGTTTTTGCCCCCCATTTTTTATGAGCTGTTCTCATAAATCTAAGCCTTTTTCTATGTAAACGTAAGGCCTATTTCTCTCAAATATTGTTCACAAATCTGTGTTAGTAAACACTTCTCCTTTTCCGAGATAATCCATCTACCTCACAGGTGTGGAATATCAAGATGCTGATTAGACAGCATGATTATTGCACAGGTGTGCCTTAGACTTGCCACAATAAAAGGCCACTCTAAAATGTGCATTTTTACTGTATTGGGAGAGTTCCAAGAGGGGGAGGGGGGTCCACTCCTCTTCAATGGCTGTGCCAAGTTACTGGATATTGGCAGGACCTGGAACACGCTGTCGTATACGCCGATCCAGAGCATCCAAACATGTTCAATGGGTGACATGTCCGGTGAGTATGCTGGCTATGCAAGAACTGGGATGTTTTCAGCTTCCGGGAATCTGCAGATCCTTGCAACATGAGGCCGTGCATTATCATGCTGCAACATGAGGTGATGGTCGTGGATGAATGGCACAACAATGGGCCTCAGGATCTCGTCACGGTATCTCTGTGCATTCAAAATGCAATGAATAAAATGCACCTGTGTCCGTTGACCATAACATACGCCTGGCCATACCATAACCCCACCACCACGGACCACTCAATCCACAAGGTTTATATCAATAAACCGCTCACCCACACGACGCCATACACGCTGTCTGCCATCTGCCCTGTACACTGAAAACCGGGATTCATCTATGAAGAGAACACCTCTCCAAAGTGCCAGACGCCATCGAATGTGAGCATTTGCTGACTCAAGTCGGTTACGACAACGAACTGAAGTCAGCATGCAGATGAGCTTCCCAGAGACTGTTTGACAGTTTGTGCAGAAATTCTTTGGTTATGTAAACCGACTGTTGCAGCAGCTGTCCGGGAGGCTGGTCTTAGACGATCTTGAAGGTAAAGATGCTGGATGTGGAGGTTCCTGGGCTGGTTACACGTGGTCTGCAGTTGTGAGTTCTGTTGGATGTACTGCCAAATTCTCTGAAATGCCTTTGGAGACAACTAATGGTAGAGAAATGAACACTCAATTCACAGGCAACAGCTCTGGTGGACATTACTGCAGTCAGCATGCCAATTACACGCTCCCTCAAAACTTGCGACATCTGTGGCATTGTACTGTGTGATAAAACTGCACATTTTAAAGTGCCCAGCCTAAGGCACACCTTTGCAATAATCATGCTGTCTACTCAGCATCTTGATATCTCATAGAAACATAGAATGTGACGGCAGATAAGAACCATTCGGCCCATCTAGTCTGCCCAATTTTCTAAATACTTTCATTAGTCCCTAGTCTTATCTTATAGTTATAGCCTTATGCCTATCCCACGCATGCTTAAACTCCTTTACTGTGTTAACCTCTACCACTTCAGCTGGAAGGCTATTCCATGGTAGAGGTTAACACAACTGTGATGTGGATGGATTATCTCGGCAAAGGAGAAGTGCTGACTAACACAGATTTAGACAGATTTGTGAACAATATTTGAGAGAAATAGGCCTTTTGTGTACATAGAAAAGTCTTAGATCTTTGAGTTCAGCTAATTTTGTTTAGTGTAGATTTTCATGACTTAGATTGGGCAATGGACAAGTACATTTTCATTTATTTTTTTAAATTTCTACACTCCTGAAAGCAATTTAAAAATTAGAAGAAACATATATCTTGTACAATGTCAAATGCAAAGCAAAATTTAGGATAAAACATAGCTTGGCATTTGTATTACCTAGTCAATTAAAACAAGCTAAGAGCATCCATAAAGGATTAGCACAATCTTCCCAAGTATTTCCATCTTGGGCAAGCAGCCACCATAGTGTTATTTGAGGAGATAGATAGATGGATAGATAGATAGACAGACAGACAGATATATATATATGAACATGTCTTGATTTGCAGCAAGCTTTTTTTTTTTTTTTTAAACAAATTCAATAAAGTCATAATTTTAAATTCAAAATGAATTTCAAAAGTAAGGCGAAAGTAGTCGAGCTGAACGTAGATTTGGAGAATTTTCTCAGTTCACCTACTTTTGGCGTTAACTTTGAAATTCACCTTGAATTCACGACAATTAGCATTGCAGGTGTTTAGCAGCCCACATTCATATAAGCTATATTTCTCTTAAGATTCCTTATTCCATTATAGTGTTGAAAACCGCAGAAGATTTGGGTTTGTACCTTTCTGCAAATAAATTGATACCTGCTACATGGTCGCTATGTTAACAGGGAAGCATGAATGTGGAGTCCAGTGATGCTCTAAGCCTACTGGTGGGTCACGCCAGTGTTTCCCTATTAGCTGTGCAACCGAGGAAAAAAGTAAGGCGGCAGCATGACGGGCACAAGGGGACAGAACTTCTGCATTAAACCACTTGAAAATGATTTAACACAGTAAAGCAAGGTGGCACTAGAAGACGCATGGCCTGGAGTAGCCCTTTAATGTAAATTTTTTTTAAATAATAAGAATAAAAACACATTAAATCTAAAGTATGCCTATGCACAATATAAAATAATGTGAGACAGCCTCATTTAAACAAAGACAAAATGGTATTACCAGTGGTGTTAGCTGAACCTTTAACACCTCCTTTCTTAACTCGCTCTGTAGGTTGGGTAGCTGGTTGTCACTTTTTGGGGTACGACTTGGAGATTTTGAACGTCGTGCAGGTGATCGAGATCTTGACCGACTTCTACGTCTAGAAGGAGATACTGAGCTTCTTTTCTTGTTTCGAAAAACATTAAGATGCTATAAAAGAAAAAAAACAACATTTGAGCCAACATAAATGCACAAAATTCAAAAAAAAATCCATTCAAAATTTTTTAATAAAGTATTGATTCAAGTTTATTTTGAACAAATAAACTTAACTCTATGACAAGGTTCACTTCATAGCAAACTGGATGGCAATAGTAGTCAGAGCACTGGGGGTTGATCATCCCAGCACCCTCAACCCATAACTGCCAACCATCTTGAATGGAACCTATACTGCAAAATCCACATTAGGTCAGGAGGAAAAGGGATATATTCCAGGTGCTGACGAGAGGCACATTTTTGTCATTTTTCTCCCACATACAGATATAGAGGGCAGTGACCATAGACTTGACAGCATCACAACATCAGTGGACTACATTTGTTATGTTGTTTGGATGGCTTCTACCAAGAACACAAAACAAATCTTGTGCTAGCTAATGTGTACATTTTATTATAATTGACTCTCTCACCCCTCCTGGATGGTATATTTATTCCTCATTCTCAGGTCCTCTACCAGAGGCCTGGGAGTCTACGGGTTTTGCGAGGTATCTTCGCTGATCCTAGAACTGCACTTTGGGCAGCGTTCTCAGATGTCCCACCTGGAATCTGTCAAAGCCATTCCCCCAACTTGGGAGTTACAGTCCCAAGAGCTCATATCACAACTGGGACTATTACTGCCTTCACTTTCCACATCCTTTCTAGATCTTCTTTCTGTCCTTGGCATTTGTCCATCTTCTAATGTACCTTCTTCCTGATGTTATAGTCACTGGGTATTGCCACATCAACCACTACCGCAGTCTTCCGTTTCTTGTATACCACCACAATGTCAGGTTGATTGGCCAGTACTTGCTTGTCCATTTCTATTTGAAAATCACACAGAATCTTAGTCCGGTCATTCTCAACAACCTTTTGTGGTATCCCCTATCTAGACTTAGGCAGGTCCAGCCCATGGTCTCTGCAGATGTTTCAGTAGACAATTACAGGAACTCTGTTGTGTCTCTCAGTGTATGCTGTTTCAGATAACATCTTGCACCCGGCCACTGTGCTGGATTGTCTCAGGCCTCTTTGCACAGTCTGCACCTTGGGTCTTTCCTTGTGGTAAACTCCAGATTCTATTGATCTGGGGCTGTACATCCTATGGAGAGATTTGACTTGCCATGGAACCTCCTCCTTTTCTGCATTCTCTATCTGATGAAGTCTCAGGCATTGCCTTAGCAATTCAACTTTGAAAGCCATCTTCGTGATTGTACTTGTCGATGCTCTGTGTTTCATCCAGGGCTGTGGCCTGGACACTAACCGGGACCCAACCCCTTTCCTTCCGGCTGGTGTACATGAATAAGAACACACACACAATATTTATATTAACCCAAGGTCCTTATTCCCTCCTCCCTGGCCACACACAGAAAGTAAAGGAAATACTAAATAGAAATTTACTTGAACAATAATTTGAAAATATAACAATTACATTTCTTTCCTGCTGAAAATGGAAATAAAGATAAAAAAAGTTATCGTGATCAAAACAAACAGTTACCTTCATATCAGCCTCTTTAAGTTTAAATACAGTGCCATCATTCTTGTAACGCACTGTATATAGTTGAGAAGGGACATCAAATGATACAACTTTTACTTCGTAGTAAAGGCTACTTCCTGGCCATCGACCCATTACATCCTGACCATTTTCAAATTTTTGGCCTGGCATTTTCAAAGGTGCTCACCTACACAATGACATTAAACATATGGTTAACAAAAACAATAATCAACAAGTCTTTATATATAGCTAACTTTTTTAAATTAGAGTTTTAAATAAAAGAGAACACAGAGTTAAAAAACCCAAGTCAGTCCAACATGTGCCATAAATTGCAATGTGCTGAAAATTACACAATTTAATAAAACACTGACAGTGCTATTTACTAAAGTGAGAATTCAAAGTGAATTTCAAATTTAAGACTAGAGCAGCCAAATTAAATGCATAGTTGACTTCCAAATATTTCCAAATTTAGCTATTTTAAGCTAAAAGTTGAATTTCACTTTGAATTCTATATTTATTGAATAATCCTGTGCAAATCACCAACACGTGTTTACCTCATCATTCATGTGATTGATTTTAATTGGAAATTTGTAAAAATTTAGCAAGTACCATAACAATACAGTTCATTTCACAGATAGAACACAATACAATTAAGGAAAACTGTGCAAGCTGAGAAGCAAACAATTTGCAAACAAGAGAAAGAATGAGTGTCCTTAAAAAAGAACTTAATAGTAATTCTAAAATATAATCAAAATTTCCTAAATAGGAATTATTTAGTGATAAACTAAGGTATATACATCAAGATTTTACACGAATATAATAATAAACCATGGCATATACATATTATAGTTAGTAACTTATCAGTAGGAAAATATGTGGAGACGCCCTGTAAGCCTCAAATAAGTAGGGTACATGGCAAAGTATTAAGAAGTCTTATCAAATGGTATCTGCACAGTAACAATTGTGCATACCACAGTGACTAGTGATTGGCACTGGCTATAAGGAAAGCCTTATCAAATGGTATCTGCATAGAGACGTTTTTGCAGATCACAATGGTTGGTGGTTGTCACTGGTAAGCACAAAATAATAAATAACTGAAGTGTATCTATACATAATAAACTGGTTAATAAAGTATATACAGTAGAAAAAATAATAATAGAAGGTGCAGTGTTAAAATACTGTCTGGAGTATATAATAGTTGGAAGGTTCTGTTCAAAAGTTTTCAGAAACCTTCACCCGATAACTGTGTGCAAAATGGAGTTTTGCAATCCATAGAGGCTTGTCGCTTTGAGCTGATGATAAAGTGTGTCTCAGCACAATAACAAGTTTATACTAAGACCACAGTGTAACATAACTACAACGGTTAGGAAAAAAGGATACAGTAACAAATTTCCTAATTAAGCAGAAACAGTAGTAACCAGCATCTATTAATGAAAATAGAAAGAAGTATTGCACAAATATCTTTGAAGTACCTAACTCATAAATACTAAGCGATATATATACAATACACTTATGAAGTGAACGCCGGTTTGTTGAGTGCATGATCTAACACTTTACAAAAATGTTGCTGCAGAAAGCTCAAAGTGCAGCTTCTGTGGGTAACAGAAAGTGTAAAGCCACTAATGCTATGGGGATAGGATAATATCTGATTAGAAGTGTACTAAGTCACACTGACTAATGAAATGGCTAGATACTAAATAGTATATAACTTAATACCCCAGAATAGTCATAGTCCATAGTGGTAACTTCGGGATCCTGAGACAAAGATCAATTCTAATTTTCCATAAGGTAAGTATAAAATCTCAGGAACACAAAGTTCCCCTGACACGCACGTTTCGCCCACAACTCATCAGAGGGGAACCGATGTGTACGAACTGACCGAGGTTATCTAGTGGAGTGACTACTCTGATAGGTAAGTTCGAAAAACGTCATCCTAGGGTCGACCAATTAGAATTGAATTGATTAATGACATAATAGAGTAGTCTAAGTTAACCCTCATAATTGCCAGAAAGGAATTGTTAACCCTTGTGGGTCTGACAGATCAATTTGAAAAAAATGGAAAGTTATTATTGAGAGTTAAAGACTAAACCATTACCTCACTTGAGTATTATCGTGCAGTACCTTATCATTTAAAATAATGAGTAAGGAGAAATTAAAGAGGGGAAGTAACGTCCTAGCATACTGTTGATCGCATATCTAACACTAATAGATAGATATCTAATGTTGATAATTGATAAGAAAGGGGGTGGAAAAAAACAAGGTGTGTAAATGTTTTTTGTAGAAGAAGGAGGTAGAAACAGAATAAATAAATGCATAAACAAAGGGGTATAAAACTTAACTAAAATCTGTATTGTTAACAGTAAATGATAATTATAATTGTTTTACTTAACAGTTCTCTCCAAATCATAAATCAAAATACAAATTGGATAGTAACCAAACTCTAAGAGGTTTGATCCTATATGTGACCATACATAGTATCAGAAGAGTATTGCTACGTAATTTGTGTGTGTGTGTGTGTGTGTGTATACATATATATATACACATACATATACACACATACATACATACACACACACACACACACACACACACACACATCTACATATACACATATACATAGAGATATTTATAAATGATAAAGGGTAATGAAGATAATTGATACTTCCACAAATGTCGGGCTACGCCAGCCATGGATCTTTGTTAGAGATGAAACGAAAACTACGAAAAATAACCATCAGGTAGATTTACTCTTAAGAATGACAGTATAGAAATCATCCAGTAAATGTATACTGTGCCATAGTGGTCGCGCGACGTGTCCGCGTTGTAACTGCACATGGTAACAATATTGACATAGAACCTACATAAGGCTATATACATGTCTATGTATATTCACACTAAATTTCCATCCTTAATATATCCACCATGGAATTGTTACTGATATTGTTAGAGGAGTTTAAACTTTACCCTAATTTCGTTTTAGTAATGAAGAGATAAAGGTACTGACTGATATGAAACCTTGTAGAGGATAATAAAAGATAATCGATGTCTCAAATTTTAATTTTTTTTATATTGTGACAATTAAGTCTCTGTGGAAAATATACAAAAATGTATAGAACGTATAATTATAATTAGGACCATACGACTGAATAAGTCAAAGGTGCCTATAATTCGCACTCCTAACACTAAGATTAATAAGATGTCATAATTTCCAATTATTGCAGCCGTAGTTTACTATTAGTAGCAATACACATTACAAAAAATGTGCTACATAATTTATTTTAATATCAATATTGGTCCATTCATTGCCAATAGTGGGTTATGGTGGAAAATACAGAAGACATAAAACTCTACTTAATGGATAAATGGCTGTGAGATGTGCTTAAATATAGATATCAAACTTAATAAATTGCCAGTAAGTTATTGTAAGAGTTTTAGTATCCTAAGCGTTCGACAATATTGGGAAATATTTATATTGACATTAAAAATAAAGAGTAATAGAAAAACTTGAATATTTACACAAATGTGAAGTTTTATCAGCCAAATGTCCTTGAGAGAGATGAGACAAAAACAACGTAAAATAACTGACTAGTGAACCATAAGAAAACTAATGTATAAAAGGGGTGAAATTAAATTCTTCATTAAGGCCGTTAGGTGTAATTGTTTGAAATTCATAAGTCCATCTGGACTCTTTCTGTAAGAGTATCAGGTTAAAATTCCCTTTTGGGAATTCAAAATGACTTTTTCCAGGGCTTGGTATGACAGGTGTTTCGCATTCACATCATGAAAATTTCAAATATGATTTGCAACAGAGGTGACCAAATTAGGATTATTGACAGAGTTAATATGCGTCTTCTGAATTCTTTTTAGGTCTTCCCAATATATTGCTTTCCACAAGTGCAGGTTATCACATAAATCACTAGGGTGGTGCTACAATCCATAAAGTGATTAATTCTGAATTCTTTTTTTATGGTTTTCACATATCACTGTTTTGGAAGGTTTGACAAAAGGGCAGGCCTTACAGTGGCCACATCTAAAAATCTCCATTGGTGCTGTGAGCCAACTTTTTGAAGGTGATTTTCTTTCTATATGGCTGTGCACTAGAATGTCACGAAGATTTTTTGACCTACGTGCTGTGATGTTTGGATAGGCCATTAATTGGGGATCAAGATCTGTATCTTATTGTAAGATGGGCCAATGTAGAGAAAATATATCCTTTAAGGGTTGCCACTGTTTGTGAAACGTACCTATGCATCTTATCATCTGATTGGTAGAAGTGGGTCTGGTTGACCGAAGGCTGTTGCTCCTGTCTTGATTTAGGACTCTCTGAAGTGCTTTTTTCAGTAACCTGTTAGGATATCCCTTGTTCTTAAATCTGACTCGCAGTCTGTTGGCCTCGATTTAGAAAGACTCATCGTTTGAGCAGTTTCTCCTTGCCCTCAGGTACTGTCCATATGGTATCCCTTGCCTTTAGGCGATATGGATGGAAACTCTGCCAATGCAAAAGGCTGTTTGATGCTGTACTTTTCCTAAATAGTTCGGTGTTAGGATTCTAAGATCTAAGAATTCTAATTGAGATTCATGGATAACGTATGTGAGTTTTAATCCAATTTGGTTGTTAAGATCTTCAACTATATCTGTAAAGTTGGTAATGGAACTAGTCCAAAATATCAGAATGTCGTCAATATATCTTAGACATTTATGAATGTAGTTCTGATATTGGTTTAAAGTGATGTCTTTAAGAATTGTTTCTTCCCACCACCCAAGATACAAGTTAGTGTAACTTGGGGCACAAGCCGTGCCCATTGCTGTGCCATGTAATTGAAGATAATAAATCCCATCAAACACAAAATAATTGTGAGTTAAAACAAACTGCAATAAAGAGAATATAAATGCAATTTGTTCCAAACTGTACTTGGTAGACTTATGAAAAGTGGAATGTGGCACATAACCCCTTATCATGGGGGATGTTGTTATCTAAGGACACAACGTCCAAACTTGAAAGAAGTGTGTATGGGGGGACTACAAGATTCTCCAGTGTCAGAAGAGTTTGCTTTGGATCTTATATATTCTAAATTGGTCACAAATGGATGAAGTAATTTTTCTAAGAATTTACTGGCCTTTTCAATCAAAATTGTTGCCAGAGATAATGGGTCTCCCTGGAGGCTTCTTGAGACATTTATTGACTTTTGGTAGACAGTAGAATGTGGGGATGGTAGGGTTATGATTAGGAATCATAAAATGGTGTTCTTCTTTACTGATTATGTTGCTATCTAGTGCCTGAGTGAGGAGACTTCGAAGTTTAGTGAGGAATGAAGTAGTGGGATCCTGAGATAAAGCTCTATATTGAGAGGTGTCCCTAAGATGTTCCATACACAACTCAATGTAGACACCTAGATCCATTATCACAATGTTACCACCTTTATCCGAAGGTTTGATAACTAGCTCTTTGTTGTCTCTAAGGTCCCTGAGTGCTTCTCGTTCATCCTTTGTAAGGTTACCCTGAAATTTCTCTGAAAGTGGAATTGACTCAATGGACTTGGTCGTCATTTGGACGAATAGATCGACACTTGACACTTCCTTAAAATTTGGAGTGTACCAACTAGGGGGTTTACAATCGGTAAATGTTGGTGATCATCATATGTTAAGCCTAGTTCTTTAGCTTGCTTGTTCTCTTTTCTTTTATGGGTGACACTAAGGGCGAGTTTACGCCCAAATAGATTCGTGTCCTTTACCCAATTAAAATTTATTGGTTGCAGGAGAGGGAACAAATGACAAGCCCTTGCTTTACAAAGATTTGTGCTTATTCTCAAGATTAAAAGGTAGAGAGGTTAATGATCAAATGATCTTCAATGTTGTTCTGATTTATTGATTCTTGTAACCTCCTTTGTTGTTTTTGTAGCCCCATCTTGTTCTGTCCCTGAGTTTGCCTTTCTTGTTCTAAAAAAGATGGTCCTTGTTGGGAAGATGTAGATGGGATACTGGTAACAATGGGTAGACTTGAGAACTCTGTATCTGGAAAAGAAATGTTTTTCTCTACCGATTTTGGTATCCCTTTTCTTCCCTGTTGATTGTAATTTGTATTTATCGTATTGATACCACGTCTCCGGGGACTAGATTCAGAATCAGACCAGTCAGTGTCGCCTGTTGTAGAGTCCTGTTTGCTTCTCCAGCTTTTTCCAAAATTATTTCTCTGTCTGAAGATGGTACCTTCTTTAAAATCACTATAGTCACGTTGAAATTTCAGATTTTTTTTTCCCTAATATGTTTTGTAAAATTTTCTAAATTATTGTTGAGTTTTGTTTCCATTGGTTTAAAGTCTGAGTGGAAAGTTTTTATATTATTGATTTCTACTTGGAGGTTTTTATTCACCATTTCCAAGTGAGATTCCTCAAGTGTAATTAGAAATTCCATAAGTTTAATTGAGCTATCTATCAGAATGTGGTTTCATTCTTTAATTTGTGTATCTGTCTTGCCCTTATCTGATCTTGAGATGTCTGATCTTAGTCCCCTAGGGACTAACTTTTCTTCATAACATATTTTTGTTTTGAATAAGTTTATTGGTGCATAAGAAAAGCAGTCATCCCACGCAGGGGAGACAAATGAGCATAGTAAACTTTTCGACATAGGCATATGCCACAGAGTGCATTTTATATCGAATGAGAACAGTCAAAGCCTAGTAAGGCAGAAAGGTTAGATTATGTGAACACAAGTAACATAACTAAGGTTAAACAAAGTCATATTGCATATCCGTTCCAACATTGGCGAGAAGAGATCATTCTCTGCATCTTATTTTTCAGTCAGCTTATGTTAGCGGTACAATGTTTAGCGAAATCTGAACCGAGGTATTTGCACTGTTGTCTACGCTGAATTATAACGGGTCCAGTTAAATAATGTTTTATGCCTATTCTCAACTTTATTTGGTTAAACAATACGCAGCAACCCATTAGTGAGTCCCCATATGCTGGCAGGGTGGGATTAAACTATGGTATAACACAAGGGCCCGTCATTAGGAAATCAGAGAAAGGGTTAGTATTTCACTCTGAGATGTTAACATGACATTCAAGGATTAGGTAATGGGGGATTAGGGGCTTATTTGGTTGCTGTATAACTTCCTCTCCCTACGTTTAACAGGGTAGTATGTTGTAAGTCTTTAATTCGTGCCCTCAGGTAAGAGGTAATCGATGTCCCACAAGATAGGACCCACAAAATCTGTACGTGCGTGATTACAAACACATCTAGAAAATAAACAATGAACGGTTAAACTGTAAGCAGGTTGTTCCGTAAAGAATGCTCATATAGGCACTGCTGCATGGGCAGTGTGAGCAAGACTAGAAAAATATATTAAACAGGCAGCATTATAGCATAAACATATCACTGATGCTTTTCAGTCCTCAAGGATCATCAAGCATAAGACAGGAGCATAACGTAGATAAGGACATGATGCTGCATAATGTACAGCTTTATATGGTGAATAAACAAAAAACAAAAACAAAAAAAAACATTTACTGCTGCATGTCATTAGCAGCGTGTATCAACTCAGTCCACAGGCATTGAAGGGCCACGGATACGACCCCCCCGAGCGGGGGGAACCGACTGCAGATGCCTTTGCGGCTGATCCCAGGGGCGCCAGGCCTCCGCGGCATCCCCCTAGGCCGCGCCAAGCCTCCATCCGGGAGATCTGCAGCACAGCGGGCACTCGGGGACCCATCAGTCCACAGGACCCACCGCCTAAAGTCCGTGTGCCAGTCAGTAATCCCCTGCACCCCCACTGCACCACTGGGGCCCCAGATGGTCAGGGTGAAGGCCGTCCTGTGTCTCACCCTTCTCCGGCCACTCGGGGCGGGCGCCAGCCTCCCCACAGCCACCGGTCCGCCGGGGGCCGCCGCGTTCCGCTCCACGAGGGCTCACAGCGTCGGGGACAGTTGCCTGCAGGTCCTCCTCAAACCCACAGGTGACGGCACTTCGGTCTTCGCAGGGCATAGTCCAAGGGTCGCGGCATCCGGCCAGTGGGCCCCAAGGACACCGCAGCAGCATCCCGCCTGGCTCCCCCACCCACGTGCATCGCCTCCGGGGCCCCACTTCATCCGTGGGTGTTGTATCACCAGGACAGCTTCTGATGGCAAGGCAGGACTGTTGTAGGCCGTTAAGTTCAGGGTGCGCGTTAATCCTGTAGCGCAGACAATAATCGTCCCTGTCTTTCGAGTGTAGATATCTGGCGGGCCGCAGTTTGGCAGCCAGTGCCTGTGCAGGAGGTCAGCGAGCACCCCGGGTGGTTGCGTCCACCCCAGGGCGTGCAGCCTCCATGTAGCCGGGATTACCCCCTCCGGCCGGGGGGGGGGCGGGGCCGCCGCTCTCACCCGTGGAGATCTCCCCCAGTGTCCGCATAGCTGGTGTGTTTGTATCTCGGGCCTTGCAATCAGGCGTCTGTTCTCTATCTGCAGCTGTCCTCATGCAGGCTTATGCAGGTGTGTAGGCCGGGTTCATCCGTCTCGGTGTTCCCCGTGAATTTTTGGCCGCATAACATATTTTTGTAAACAGATAATTTCCCAATGGCCCTTAATTTGTTGTTTGTACAGATTTTGTATATCAAAAAAAAACTCTCGTTAATTTCAGTGGAATTCTGTCTAATTAGAGGGTCTAGGGAATAATATGTATGGTCACATATAGGATCAAACCTCTTATTTAGAGTTTGGTTACTATCCAATACAGATTTTAGTTAAGTTTTATACCCCTTTGTTTATGCATTTATTTATTCTGTTTCTACCTCCTTCTTCTACAAAAAAACATTTACACACCTTGTTTTTTTCCACCCCCTTTCTTATCAATCAACATTAGATATCTATCTATTAGTGTTAGATATGCGATCAACAGTATGCTAGGACGTTACTTCCCCTCTTTAATTTCTCCTTACTCATTATTTTAAATGATAAGGTACTGCACGATAATACTCAAGTGAGGTAATGGTTTAGTCTTTAACTCTCAATAATAACTTTCCATTTTTTTCAAATTGATCTGTCAGACCCACAAGGGTTAACAATTCCTTTCTGGCAATTATGAGGGTTAACTTAGACTACTCTATTATGTCATTAATCAATTCAATTCTAATTGGTCGACCCTAGGATGACGTTTTTCGAACTTACCTATCAGAGTAGTCACTCCACTAGATAACCTCGGTCAGTTCGTACACATCGGTTCCCCTCTGATGAGTTGTGGGCGAAACGTGCGTGTCAGGGGAACTTTGTGTTCCTGAGATTTTATACTTACCTTAAGTAAAATTAGAATGGATCTTTATGTCTCAGGATTCCGAGTATGTGTTACCACTATGGACAGGGCAGTCTTTAGCGCGGGGCAAATGGGGCAGCTGCCCCGGGCCCAATTGCTCCTGGGGGCCCCCAGAGCAGCTGCCCTGTGGGCCCCGCGATTTGCGCAGCCGCATCGTCCCACACGCTAAAGAGGGCCCCCGGGTGGCCCATGCACTAAGGGCCCCCTGGTGGGCATTTGTCAGCAGGGGCCCGGTCGGGCGCTGTGACGCTTAAACAGCGCGACCGGGCCCCTTCCTGTTTGGCAGCCGGCTGGGAGGAAGTGAGTGCCGCGCGTCACTTCCTCCTACAAGAGATCAGAGCCGCGCGGGAGGAGGAAGGCAGGGAGGAGAGGAGTTTCAGAGGAGAACTCCCAACTGCCTCAGCCTGCCACTGGACCCCAGGGAAACCACTCTCCAGAAAAGGTAAGGGTGGTTGGAGGGTGGCTAAATGTACGTCAGTATGTCTGTGCGTGTCAGTATGTCTGTGGGTGTGTCAGACAGTATGTCTGTCAGTATGTCAGCATGCCTGTGTGTGTGTGTTATGTCAGCATGCCTGTGTGTGTGTGTTATGTCAGCATGCCTGTGTGTGTGGTCAAAATTATGTCAGTGTATGTCTGTCTGTGTGTATGTCAGTGTATGTCTGTCTGTGTGTATGTCAGTATGTCTGTCTGTGTGTATGTCAGTATGTCTGTCTGTGTGTATGTCAGTATGTCTGTGTGTATGTCAAATGTGTCTGTATGTCAAATGTCTGTCTGTGTGCGTGTGTCAAATATCTGTGTGCGTGTGTGTGTCACTATGTCTGTCTGTGTCACTATGTCTGTGTCAGTGTGTGTATATCAGTATGCCTCTGTGTGTCAGCATGTCTGTGTGTGTGTCAATACTTCTCTCAGTGTATGTGTGTGTGTCAGTATTTCTGTCAGTGTATGTGTGTATGTGTGTGTCAGTATGTCTGAATGTGTGTCAATATGTCTGCCAGTATATATTTGTGTGTCAGTGTATGTGTCTGTCAGTATGTATCTGTGAATGTTTTAATATGTCTGTCTGTGTGTATGTGTCAGTATGTCAGTGTGATTGGGGGTTGGGCGTAATTGGGGCAAGGGGGGATTGGGAGGGTCGCAGGGCCCAACAAAATTCTTTGCCCAGGGTCCTATTCATATTATAGACGGCCCTGACTATGGACTATGACTATTCTGGGGTATTAAGTTATATACTATTTGGTATCTAGCCATTTCATTAGTCAGTGTGACTTAGTACACTTCTAATCAGATATTATCCTATCCCCATAGCATTAGTGGCTTTACACTTTCTGTTACCCACAGAAGCTGCACTTTGAGCTTTCTGCAGCAACATTTTTGTAAAGCGTTAGATCATGCACTCAACAAACCGGCGTTCACTTCATAAGTGTATTGTATATATATCGCTTAGTATTTATGAGTTAGGTACTTCAAAGATATTTGATATATTTATTTTTTCTACTGTATATACTTTATTTATAAACCAGTTTATTATGTATATATACACACACTTCAGTTATTTATTATTTTGTGCTTACCAGTGACAACCACCAACCATTGTGATCTGCAAAAACGTCTCTATGCAAATACCATTTGATAAGGCTTTCCTTATAGCCAGTGCCAATCACTAGTCACTGTGGTATGCACAATTGTTACTGTGCAGATACCATTTGATAAGACTTCTTAATACTTTGCCACGTACCCTACTTATTTGAGGCTTACAGGGCGTCTTCACATATTTTCCTACTGATAAGTTATTAACTATAATATGTATATACCTTGGTTTATTATTATATTCGTGTAAAATCTCCATGTATATACCTTAGTTTATCACTATATTATTCCTATTTAGGAAATTTTGATTATATTTTAGAATTACTATTAAAAGTTATTTTTTAAGGACACTCATTCTTTCTCTTGTTTACTTCTCCAATCTTTGGGTTAACCCCAGTACGAGTGTTCCTCAGGCTTCCACTTTCCTGTTTATCTTAGCAAACAATTTGCTTTTAATGTTCAAAGGCAGAAAAGGCAACATTTATAGACTGGGAGCCAAGACGGAGGTGACTAGTTAGAATGACAGTTGATTTTCTGAATTTAAAAAGACACTGTACGGATTGACGTGGTTATGGTGCTTGCAATATCTGCTCTAGGTCCTGTATCACTGCTGAACAGTTGACTCCCTGTTATTTCACTATTTCATAAAGATTCTACCTTTCTGAGAGAAAAATAAATAAATGGGGCGGTGCTGTTCTAAACTGCACTTACATTGAAGGTGTATCACATCTTTACTATATTCTCTTGAATGAATAACCATCATTATTTCACTTTCAGTCAAAAATGTTGACAAATACTGCCAAAATACTTGTGGATTGTACTCTATATTATGGTATATAGAGTATACCAATATATAAGCAAGCAAGTTATCAAAATCATACTTTTCACATCCATAAAACCCAGTCGAAAAGAACGTGTTTGCCCAGGAACCAGAGTAGTGATGCTTCAAGAAGATGTACTATTTATCAATATAACTATATTTAGATCTTAGAAAGAATACTACAGGTCTATTGCTGGGTATAAAAGGATACAAGTAGTGATTTACCTACTAAAAGGAATATTAAAATCACCAAAACAACTTTAGCTTAAAGGACTGTATTTGACTGAGGAAGCTCATTGGAATGAAACGTTTTGGCATTGGTTATACAGACTTTTGTTCCAAGTGCAATATTGGATTTTATTTCTTGATAATATAGCGGTTTATTCTTTTTATTTTCAATACATTGTTTATCCAGGACTATCTGTTGTCCAGCCAGATCTTCAATTCCAGGAGTCACCAGCTGAGTCAGTGCCATCCCATAAACTGGCACATCTCACAAGGCGGGCAACAAGCATGGCGGGCGCGGGGAAGAAGGACGCTCCCCAGCGACAATGCCATACCGGGAATCTGAATGCTAGCCCTAGTCATCCCCCCCATCCCACCCCCTGGCAGAGCAATGGGCTTGTATCGGCCACGTGGAGCTCGAAACCAACCGACCCAGCGGTCTCTAAGATGGCGGAAGCCTCACACACCGCTGACGCATCTAAAGCATGGTGGGAAACTGAGATGCGGCTGAACGGCATCTTCGTGACTTTCTGGGAGTCCCTGGAAGCCCACATGAGACCCTCGGAGTCTGCTGATCCACCACAGACTACACCTCCTCGGGGCACCCCAAAGGAAACCAAACGGGGACAAACAGCAGCGCAACCAAGCCGACAAACACACCACAAGGGTGACGACGACGCGAACGGGCAGGGGCAGAGACATGACACAAGGCCCAAGACAACAGCAGCAAGAAGGCGGCGGAGGGTCAAGTACTTGCCTCCCCCAGCAAAGGCAGTGAAGCAGAGGAACCCGCCGACACCAAGCACCAGACCTCTTCAGATAGGACGAGTAAAGCTGAGGGGCACCCTTACCCGACACACAGCTTGGATGGAGCTACACTCAACACCCACAGCAACCCTGCTTGATCCAGGGGATATCAACTTCTTAGCAGCAGGGAGAACACACCAGCTGCACCGACCACCGCAGGGAACATATACCCAGCCCAAATGTGGCATCGGCTGACCCCAAAAGGTACTCAGACTCAAAGCCAGGCATAGAACCAACTGCCACACAGCTCTCTATGCCCCTATTGAACTCTCTCGAAAGTATGCTGGAAAATATAATCTACTCTTTTTTCTTTTGATTCTATTACTGGTCGGCTCACCCGAGGGAGCTATAAATCAATGTCTAGCGAATGGATATTGTGATTACATGTGCCAAGATTAGCTAGGAATTCAGCAACTACTGTACCTTTAATATGCTTAGTTTAATGCCATGCCGTATAATCATAACTTACATATCTATAGCCTGAAGAAACACTAGTACTCTCATCAATGTGTATAGAACGGAAATGTCATCATAGACGTATCCATGCCAGCTAGTTATGCAAGATACAGCATTACATGTATAGCTTAACTAAACAGTTTAAAGTAGGATCTAAGCGACTAAACCTGTTAATAATATAAAATTGTGCCGGTTATTCGTATGCCCCGCATGTAAAGCGAGGAAATAGCCTGAGGACTGCTTTTGGGGCACCTCAAGCCTGCCTGTACCATTTTCATGGACTACAAAAATAAAAAATTAAACTGGCACCATCCCTTCCAAACTCAGAGCCAGTGTTTTTAGGCTTTGAATATGGTGAGTTTAACACCTAATTTATTGTTAAGTGAAAAAAAGTTTAATGCAGTTTATGCACATTAAACTATTGGAGTATTTGCTCTTTATGTTTGATCCCGGCATTTTATGGCAGAGGAGGTGTGATGCTGCCTTTAAATCACATAAGCAGTTTCTACTGAGCCAGTACTTTCAGTCTCTCGCCCTTGTGTGTGGATCTGGATATTTCTTATAACGTTTATTCCCTATAAACACCATATGCACTAAGTATGCATTTCTTTTTCCTCTGTTTATGTACTCTGTGTAGATCCCTGCCTTACCCAGGATAGAGGGGTAAGCAAAATTGCATGCTTATGTTATAGGTGGTGAATCTTTATGTAAAAGGTGAGCACTATTGTTTAAATAATAAATCAGGCTTACCTAAAATCCAGCACCAGGATCAGCTCCTGGCACCGTCTGACATCCTGTTAGCCGTTGTGTGTAACAAGCCAAGGCTTCTCACAAAGAAACCTTTGACTGGACCATATACCTGTCTCAGTGTGCTTTGAGTAGTCGAGGTAAGGAGGGAATGATGCAGGGAAATTGTTTAAATAATAATAATGGAAGTGTAGGTATGTGAGAAATGCGTCCACTCGCAGGCTCTGAAGTAGTCAGTTATGTCCATTTTTAGCAATTAGTGTGCGCAGTCAACGGACTTAATTTTTGCACAGAAGTGACATTTGCCAATCCGGAACAGAATTCCGAGTCACATGTACCGGGAATGTAACTAAAAGCAGAAGTGGTCATAGTAATTGGAGTAACCCTTTAATAAAGCAGTTTTCGTGTATAGATCATGCCCCTGCAGTCTCTCTGCTCAATTCTCTACCGTTTCGGGGTTACTCCAACACTATTTTTATTTAAACAAATAACACCCTATTGGGCATTACTCTTTAGGTGTGCCTTGTGACATCATAGGAGCTACGCAGAGTTCCAATCAAAGCTCATAGAGAAGCCTTTGATTAGACCATTGAACCAGTTCAGAGCACATGCTCTAATCCTGCAAAGGGAGGGGGATGAAGAGAAAGAGAGAGAAGGAGAAAAAAAAATAATAATAGTGCAGGAATTAAGAAGAGACACAAGCTTCCATTAAACATGTCACCAGTAACAGAGGTATGTCTTACCTTAGAAATGTTTATCTCCTGCTCCGTTACTTAAACTTTAAATAACAAATGAGACTTCAGCGGAGCAGGAGATACGAAATTCTAAATGAAACACACTGTGCAGTAAAGGAAATTTAAACATTAGATCTCTCTTTACAGTAAATGTTTAGGAAGGCTGTGTAGGTCACATGCACAGACTGCAAGAACAAAGTAATGCATGTCCTAAATGGCATAGAATTAAGCGCTGACTGCAGGGGCATGATTTATACACCAAAGCGCTTCATTAAGCTAAAGTCGTTTTGGTGCCTACAGAATCCCTTTAAGAGGTGTTGAAGCATAATTTCATTTATACATCCATACACACTGGTTAGCAGTGTTTGAAAAATCCCAGACACCAGGTCTCCATGGCGACTAAGAATTTTGTTCTGGTGCTTGGATTTGTAAGCTTGGTCCCTCCATCCCCGTGCAGCTCTCTGTGCGCCGGCAGGAAGTGAACTGTAATTTTTTTGCTCCCGGCACAGGTAATGACTGCTCTGTTTGCCGTCTACCCCCATTCCACAGAGCGGGACTCCAGTCCGCCTACACATTTCCGTGAGCTACCTCAGCGCTGGGAGGAAGAAAGTTCTCTTAACTTCCTCCCAGCACGCTGAGAGCTGCATGGGGATAAAGGAGGGGAGCAGGAAGTCTTTACTAGCGGCAGCCCACTCCCACTGTCACCTGCTGCTGCCCTGTCCCAATAGATCCTGGGGAAGACACCGTCCTGTGCACAAAATGTAGGAAACAGGAGAGAGTCTATTTAAAAAAAATTCATTTTATTTCTGTATTTGCCTCCATAGCAGAGATTATCAATCTTTATAGGCAAACATTGGGAAGCTATTGAGCATCCGCTGCAATATGCAGAACCAATCAGCATCTCCTCATAGAGATGCATTAATACAATGCATCTCTATGGGGAATGTCCAGCACCTCCACGCAGAGCGTGGAAACGCTGAATGTAGGTGCTCAAGAATGTGCAGTATTAAGATGGACACACTAGAGGGGTTACTAGGCAGCAATGTAAACATTGAAAAGCCTGCAGGCACAGGTTATAGACACCATGACAACTATATTAAGATGTAGTAATTCTGGTGACTATAGTGTTCCTATAGTCAGAATTTTTGTCATTAAAACCCCCCCAGCAATTTTGTCAAACCAGTAAGTGACCTAACCTCAATAATAACCCATCCCACCTCAATAATGAGAGTAACACTGTCTATATCAGATGCTAGGAACCAGTGCAAGCTGATGACAAATGGGATACTGAAACAAACTATCCCAAAGCTAAGTCCTAGACCTGCTTGAATGCTACTACGCCAATAGGAGGCTACATGAAACATACATGGGAGCTATGAATGAATAAAAAACCTTCATCTACAATAACACCAAACTGGAATTAAATTAACCATGTGCCACGGAAAGAATACCATACCCACATTGATACCTACAGGATTACCATAACAACGGAATGATCCTACTACCAAATATCACTTGAAAACATCCACCAGACAATTCCAACCTGCACCATCGTCCAGCTGCTTCACTACAAGATCACCATAGACGTTGAAGACAGCAGAAAGAACCAGGCCCAGTTGCTACGAGACCTGTATAAACAGGAACCAGTCATCACAGTCGAAGATAACCAACAGTGAGTATATCCAACAGAATGGTCCAGCTGCTGGCTAACAAGGCAGTACAATGCTGGACCCTCACAAGTGAACATCACCATCCTACCGACCAAATACTTGCCCACAAAAAGGCATTGTAGCCTCCACTATTGATAGATTATGAGCAATACACAGAAGGGGAATGTTTGGCTCTCAGACTGTGCAAAGAGGCCTCAGAGAATCCAGCACATTGTGGCCAGTTAGCATGAGTGCTAGATGTGGATTTGTAAATACCCAGTGATTATAACAGGAAGAAGGAACATGGAAAGTTAAGACAGTAGCAGTCCCAGTTGTAATAGGATCATGGGGCTGTGACACTACGTTGGGGGAGTGGCTACAACAGATTTCAGGTGAGACATACCTCGTACTCCCTGAGGAAGTGAAACGCGTAGGAGTTAGTACACAAACCCTGATCAGTGAACTTCATTTGATTTTTGACCCCTGCCGGTTCCTGTCAGCAACCCATGAGCATGCCAGTCGGCGAGTTAGACAAGTGAGGGATTTCCCCCCCACCGGATTAAAAATCTTTTGGATACTTACAGGGTCCTCTCTTTATGGTTCCTGGACTTTACAGGTCAGAAATCGATATCTACCACCTACTGGACTTATCCCAGGCCCACACACGCAGAAATAATACAGTACTGCTTTATTGTAGGAGCCTTGTATTGTATTCTACCAAACACCCAAGTGGGTTGGGATCCAACAAGTTTGTTACATTGATTTTATTATGGTTTCCTTTCTTAGATTGTATCTTAGATTTTTTTTTATTTTTTTTTATACACTATTAATTACATTGCAAATCGGATGCTATTTTAATGCCTTTAGATTATTTTATGATGCTCCATTTACTTTTACTTAGCTATTAAGCTGCGCAGAACCTGAGAATGAGTAATAAATATGCCACCCAGGAGGGGTGAGGAAAAAACATACATACAAACATACATACATATATATCCATCCAAGAGGGCTGCACTCGCCTGAACATGCATACATTATAGGGTGCTGCTGGGACCAATTGGAATTGTGACAGGCTTATGCAATGTATGATCATATACTGCAACTATACTCCCATTATTTTATGCCTAGGTGAGGTGCTTTTAAATGAAAATACATTCTGCTTTTCCCACAGAAATCTCACTTTAACAGTGCTCACTACCGCAAGGGATTTTGTGGTAAAAGCAAGTCTTGCCTGGTGTGTATGTGTTTTTCCACACCACAACGTATTTGGCATGTATATATCCTTGCATTACAACTTCAAATTAAATAATATCAAATACAAAACCAATAAGAGAGCTAAAAAAATAAATCAATTAATTCAGTTGTAATCAAAAAAGCTATAACATGATTGTAGTTAAAAAGCAGGTCAACTGGGGCGGAGCCTAGCAATGGACCGGAGCGGACGCACATTGCCGGAGCTCCGAGGTACCACACGGCAATCCGGCAACATCGGAGGCATCTCGCATCCCGGCCACACATACAGGGAGTGCAGAATTATTAGGCAAGTTGTATTTTTGAGGATTAATTTTATTATTGAACAACAACCATGTTCTCAATGAACCCAAAAAACTCATTAATATCAAAGCTGAATATTTTTGGAAGTAGTTTTTAGTTTGTTTTTAGTTATAGCTATGTTAGGGGGATATCTGTGTGTGCAGGTGACTATTACTGTGCATAATTATTAGGCAACTTAACAAAAAACAAATATATACCCATTTCAATTATTTATTATTACCAGTGAAACCAATATAACATCTCAACATTCACAAATATACATTTCTGACATTCAAAAACAAAACAAAAACAAATCAGTGACCAATATAGCCACCTTTCTTTGCAAGGACACTCAAAAGCCTGCCATCCATGGATTCTGTCAGTGTTTTGATCTGTTCACCATCAACATTGCGTGCAGCAGCAACCACAGCCTCCCAGACACTGTTCAGAGAGGTGTACTGTTTTCCCTCCTTGTAAATCTCACATTTGATGATGGACCACAGGTTCTCAATGGGGTTCAGATCAGGTGAACAAGGAGGCCATGTCATTAGATTTTCTTCTTTTATACCCTTTCTTGCCAGCCACGCTGTGGAGTACTTGGACGCGTGTGATGGAGCATTGTCCTGCATGAAAATCATGTTTTTCTTGAAGGATGCAGACTTCTTCCTGTACCACTGCTTGAAGAAGGTGTCTTCCAGGAACTGGCAGTAGGACTGGGAGTTGAGCTTGACTCCATCCTCAACCCGAAAAGGCCCCACAAGCTCATCTTTGATGATACCAGCCCAAACCAGTACTCCACCTCCACCTTGCTGGCGTCTGAGTCGGACTGGAGCTCTCTGCCCTTTACCAATCCAGCCACGGGCCCATCCATCTGGCCCATCAAGACTCACTCTCATTTCATCAGTCCATAAAACCTTAGAAAAATCAGTCTTGAGATATTTCTTGGCCCAGTCTTGACGTTTCAGCTTGTGTGTCTTGTTCAGTGGTGGTCGTCTTTCAGCCTTTCTTACCTTGGCCATGTCTCTGAGTATTGCACACCTTGTGCTTTTGGGCACTCCAGTGATGTTGCAGCTCTGAAATATGGCCAAACTGGTGGCAAGTGGCATCGTGGCAGCTGCACGCTTGACTTTTCTCAGTTCATGGGCAGTTATTTTGCGCCTTGGTTTTTCCACACGCTTCTTGCGACCCTGTTGACTATTTTGAATGAAACGCTTGATTGTTCGATGATCACGCTTCAGAAGCTTTGCAATTTTAAGAGTGCTGCATCCCTCTGCAAGATATCTCACTATTTTTGACTTTTCTGAGCCTGTCAAGTCCTTCTTTTGACCCATTTTGCCAAAGGAAAGGAAGTTGCCTAATAATTATGCACACCTGATATAGGGTGTTGATGTCATTAGACCACACCCCTTCTCATTACAGAGATGCACATCACCTAATATGCTTAATTGGTAGTAGGCTTTCGAGCCTATACAGCTTGGAGTAAGACAACATGCATAAAGAGGATGATGTGGTCAAAATACTCATTTGCCTAATAATTCTGCACTCCCTGTACAGCTACAGACCGCAGGGAACCCCACTGCGACCGCCGATGCCGTTTCTCCTGACGCCTGGCTCGAAAAATAGACGCAGAGGCGGCAAGGCCTACTGGGCGGGGGAGGCAGCCTCAACCCAGCACGGGAGAACACTGGCCCTGGAGTGTCCCAGACTTTGAGGACTGGTACCCCAGCACACACAGCTCAGGTGAGATGGGGCACAGAACGCAGAAACTGCCCCAAAACACCCCGAAACCACAGCGCGACATAGGCCAAATGTTACAGGCCCCAAGCGCAGTAAAGGCACAGACCCCCCGTGAAACATCCCGGGTACCATCAGAGGAGGGAGAACCGCTAGACAGCCCACACCTTAATCCCCAACACCCCACACACACGTGGATGCCAGAAGCCAGCGCAGCGGCCTCAAAAAAAAAGATATACAGGCTATGGTGACAGGCCTGCAACAGAACTTAAGACAAATGTGGGTAGCGGACCTGGCAGTGCTTAAACTAGACGTGCACGCCGTGTCCTTGCGCACTCAGGCGGTAGAAGAGGAGGTAAAGGGACTAAGAGAGAACTACCAGGAACTGAGGGAGAAGGTGCGCCACCTCCAAGCCGCACAAGCGACAATGTCCAGGCAAGTTACCCTCCTAGATGACAGAGGGCGCCAAAAAAACATAAAAATCCGAGGGGTACCTGAATCAATACCGTTGGAAGAGTTGCCACACTTCAGACGCCTTGTGGCCACACTCCTGCCGACTAGACAATCCAAAACGTTCCAGTTCGACGGGGTTTACAGGATAGCCAAATCCCCACAAGCACCCAACTCAGCCCCACGGGACATAATATTGAGATGCCAATCAATGTTGGACAAACTGGGGCTAATGGCAGCTATACAATGGAAGACACCTCTTGACTTTGAAGACAGCAAACTCTCTTTCTTTCAGGACTTGAGCAGGGCCACACTGATATGGCGCAAAAGTATGCAACCAATCACCAAACAACTCCAAGCCGCAGGAGTTGCCTATATATGGGCAACACCAGGAACTCTCTGGATCACCAAAGATGACAAGCACTACAGGGCCACCGACCACACAGAGGGCCCAGCACTGATGACCGCATTGGGAATATCGAACCTCGCAGCGACACAGCCAGATCATCGACCAGGGACAACAAGCACAGATTCACCGGCAACACCTGGAACAAGCAGAGGCCCGAAAATCAAAACCTGAACGAACTGCCTCACAGTCCTTAGTATAATTAGTTTAAATATTTTAAGTTAAGACTGTTCATTTAAGTTATATGTAGTTCTCCCACACTCTGACGGCCATAACAGTGCTAAAACGGCCCACCAGGCCCAAGCACACCAGCTCCGATAACAATCCCCCCCCCCACCCATATACTGTAACTGTCCAAATACTGTGGCCATTTCCCAAGTACTACTTACTGCCTTCAGTGAGATCCACGAGGACATCACTGACAGTTAGTATTGCAGCAGGAATTCAGCGGATTTAACAGCTCACCGATTGGCATATAGCCACCTTCCACATTTACTACAGAATTTCCACAAATCCTCCGGTTGCATCTAAGGCTACAATCTATAAGGATACTTCAGTGGGTGAGATCCACCTATTTATTACTAAAGTGCACTATTTTTTGGACTATTGTACATAAGGACATTTATAACTTTTAGCAGCAGCTCACTGTTTATACAGAAATCTCTTATAGTGTATGCAGACGTGAAATCTCTACCCAGATATAGATATAGCAATTTATGTGGTTCTAAAGCACCAGTGTATACTTTCTATATAGGAGTTCACTCTTAGGGAATTCTATTGTGGATGGGGTGTATTATCTAAGTGGTTTTTATTCGTGGGATGTATTTTTCTGCCTGGCAGCTGCAATTATGAATTTGAGGTTTGAATTTTTTAACCCATCTCATTACTAAGAGATAATTAAGAGACAACTGCACATTAACCTCCCAGGTTTAATCCTAACCACGTATTGAGCATTTTATGTATATTTATACATACATCTATGGTTTAACTGATGTATTGAGACACCTTTTTTAGTATGGTTTCCATTTAACCAAATACTATTTATGCTCATCTATTAACCCTACCAATATTCCCATAAGGATACACTTGGATATTATACATTGTATATATCTATATAAAGGCTGCTATATATCTACCGATTAAGACATTTTGTGTCTAAACTTCCAACTGAGTAGCAAAGATTATATACATTTTCACTCAATCTCCCTCCAGACTCTCTTTTCTCTTTTCTTTATTTTCAACAGTTTAGATAACTCTATACGATAGATATATATTCTATGGTTACTATTGATTTAATTCTACTCTGTATGCAGAAAAAATATATGAGAGTCTATGACTATTTATGTGGATATAGGGAGTGACTGTGCGATAATTTATGGTCAATAATATACCTTTTTTAGTGCACATCTAAGCCTGAGAGACTTTAGTCACCCTATTACTATCTGAGGATATCCACACTGCATCTACCCAGTTTTTATTTCACTTGTTTTTTTCACAAGTATTTCACTATCACCACACTTTATAGTTTTTTGTTTTTTATCTATATGCGGCTTAATAAAGGTTATACCCAATAATTATTCTACTATTTTTATGAGATATCTTTTGGTGTAATGGATGTCCAATTTTTCCATCTCTAATGGAACAACCATTTCACTCTAGCTCTTTCCTTTTACTCCACATTTATAACTTTCTTCAGTTTTTCTCTTCACTTTTTTCATTTTTTGTTACCATTTTTTCTTATTTTTTCATTATTGTTTTTGATTTTTACTTTTTTTCTATGTACATAGATTACAGCAGATCCAGCTACTATCCATATGGATATGTTTCCCTTAGACTACTAAACAGGAACATTAGCAGCTGTGTATATATGTTTATCATGAATTTATACAATATCCATGGAGGTCATTTTGTAAATAGCTATTGAACATATGATGCAATGTATTCTATTTATCAATTATATATTCTCATATAGAGTAAAATACCTATGAATTTAATAATAAGAGCATAATAAATCAAATTAAGATTATCTTACACCATTGTTTGACTATTTTTCTATGTTGAGTGCGGTATTCATATTAATTTTTTGTATGATTTGAGGCTCTTTTAGGGTTAACCTCGAATACCTGCACCATTAGTGTGATTGAGTGCCAGCACGTTTTATCAACGTCCAAATAAAACCGGAACACGTTTCACCACTAACATGTGGCTTCCTCAACTGGATCAGTAAGCTGTATGCTTCCTGGTTCACCGTCTGTGCTTAAATACTGTTCAAAAATTAGTAGAATGGAACACCGGTGTATGTGCACCGCACACATCACCTACCACCTACAGGTAAGATGTGGTGTGATAATGAGGCATGGACTGCACACGTCTTACCTGTGGGTGGTAGGGACGTGTTCGGTGCACATACACCGGTGTTCCATTCTACTAATTTTTGAACAGTATTTAAGCACAGACTGAATTTTATAGATTGTATTAATAAATTTGTTATATTTTATCATCTTTACATCCTGGTTCTACATTCGTCATTCTGCATATGGGAGTGCAGTCCCTAATCTGCACAACGCTCAGATACCGAGTCAATTTAGACTCCTTGCTTGTAAGTACCCATTTGGGAACCTTACTTTATACCTTATCATCACCAGCTATACTGCGCAATCTTGTGTGTATTTATTCCCCTCCAGGACAAGATAGATTTTTTTATATATATATATATATATATATATATATATACACACATACATACATACATACCCTTTTGGTATCTACCATTTGCACTATGTTTGATTATCTTTTATAGATTTCAACTTATTTGAGTCCAAAGTGAGAATTTACCTCATATGCAAACTAAAAGGTGATACTTTGATTACTACTAAAGCGCTACATTCTTTTTCTCTATATATTTGTTTAGTGATATTGTAAGGAGTCACACAAATGTTTAGCTGCTTATTTTACATATGATTGCTCTACATATTTTGATACATTATAAAATTAGAAACAAGCGAGTCCCTATCCACGTTTTAAATACAAATAAAGCCAACACTGTATTTATGTCATTGCATGATAAGAAAGCAGGATATCACACCAGCAACTCAAATGTGAAAAAAAAATATGTTATAATAAGCCCGTGTTTATTCCCATGGACCTGCTGCCAAGTTCCTGCTAAACCATGGTACTCCATGATAACATGTTAAATATAAAAGAATGATGTGTGTGTTTTGAGAGCTAACACTTTGGCATTAAATTGTACTCTGTTACTTTATTTGTTAAATTGAACGAAAACAAAGTTACTCGTGAATGTGAATGTGTGTGTACTGATGATACTTTTAGTAAGTTAGAATTTTATAACAAGACAGGAGGCTCGTATTATGCATTAACTTTCTTTACTTAACTCCAGCAGCAGAGACATTTTTTCAATAAAGTTTAGTGAATAAAAAAGGTAAAACAACAGAGTAACTGAAATGGAACGTTGGTAGCCAATCAGCATCCAGTATAGTCCATATAGTGAATGATCCCCAATATTCTCCCTCTTTCTTTGCTGCTCCAGTAGAGATAAGTATCATATATATTCACTTATGCGACTGTTTTCTAAACATACCTTCTAGTTTGATTATATGTTTGACATATGTATTTATTCACTGGAATATATGCTTTTCTGAAGTAATTCTATGTTTCTTATAGTTTTTTGTCTTTAACCCCTTAAGGACCAAACTTTTGGAATAAAAGGGAATCATGACATGTCACACATGTCATGTGTCCTTAAAGGGTTAAACTGTTCAGTCATTTCTGCAGTTTCTACACGAACCGTTGCACGCGCGTTTTCTGTCAGTTAGTCCCTTATACATTGATGATGTTTATGGGTGGGAATACCAGTTAGTTGGTCCTCAGCTAACTTTCCCGCCCACTTTACCTCAGGACAGCGCTTTCCTCACAACTTGTTACTCTCTAATGGTAATTATTATAATTTGAACTATTTGAATTCCTGTCAGTATTTCCCCTCATAACTGGCAACATTTACTTACTATTTAACTATTCTATGAATAGTAGATACAATTACTATTTGTTGCAATTTTGAAATTATGAACTCTAAGGAGATCAGACAGATTGAATCACCAAAACCTGGTGTTTCTCATGACTGTGAAATCCTCACTGAGGATTCTTTACATAATATTGTGGATTTATCCGTTCAAAAGTCCGTTTCCTCTGCTATTTATACTGCAATGACCTCTATGCAAGAGGCAATTGCAAAGTCTGTGGCTCAAGCCATAAATAACTCAAAACCCAGTGAGGAGACTCATTTAATTAATACTCCTTCAGACCAATTCTGGTCATCTGTGGAGTCTGAACGAAACCTAGCTCAAGGTTTTAGGAGGTCTGGGAAGGCCACCCAGAAACGCAAACATTGCTTTGACGGTCCTGCAGAATCCCCTAATGGCTCTAAGCAAGTTAAGAGAGGGAAGGACCAAGACAAGAATACAATGCGTGCTTCACGCAAAACTGAAGAGTGTAATCAATCACTCAAAAGACCCACTGCTTGTGAGGAAGTTAAATGGGCTCGGAAGGCCATTCACAGGAACAAACCTGATTCCTATAAAACCTCCTCAGATAGTGAATCATCTTCAATCTCAGAGGATGAAAAATCTGACTGATTCTGCCTCAATTTGTTCATATATCTCAGAGACACCTGAGCTTATTTCTAAATCTGACGATGAAAACATTATTTTGGATTTTAATGGTAAACCATTATTTGACCCAGACCATATTAAACACACCAGGTCAGCCGAATGGGTCCCTATGGCTCATGTAGCCAAATATCTTGAATACTGGTTAAGGAAACCCCTTGACCAAGAGACTAGAAATAAACTAAGGGCTGAATGCCCTAGACCGACCTTATCAAAGAAAGTCACACAGACCCCTGATCTAGATCCTACTATTGTACAATTTTTATCAAAATCAGGGAAGAACCCTAATAAAGGCCTTGACAGGTCACTGAAATCTTGTCAAGATAAATTAATGGACATTTCTGGTCCTGTGACTAAAATGTTTGAAACTTTGGAATATGCGGCAGCTTCTGAGAATCCTCCCAGCATTGATACTTTGAGAGGCTGGACCCAACGCATTATATGTCTTTTGGGGTATGCTAATGCAGCGCTGACCAGCGAACGCCGCAGGTCTATTATAATGAAAATTTACCCTCAACTGTCAAATCTAGCTACTTCCGAACCTGGTCCAGCTGCGGAAGGTCTCCTATTCGGAGAATCCTTTATTAAAGACATTAATAAATATGTCAATCTATTTAGTTCCCTTAATAAGGCTCAGTTATCCCTGAAGAAAGCTTTCAACCCTAAGGTTTTCGGAAGGGCTGGAGGCGGAAGGAACTGTTCTTCCAGCCGTTCCTTTCAGCATAGACAGGTTCCAAGGAACACTTTTCAACCCTCCAGATCCTCATATGACACCCAACAATCAACTCCTTTCTTTCCACTACGTGGCAGACCTTGGAGATCGAGAGGCCATCGAGGAATGTCTCGCTTCAGATCTTCATCCGGTGAGTATGACAACTCCCCGTTCTTTCCCAGTAAGGTTAGGGGGCAGACTCACTCGTTTTTTCCATGTCTGGAGTCAGGTTACAAAACGACTCTTGGATACTAGACACGGTTCTAGGTTACAAAATAGATTTTGTATCATTCCCCGTCCAAAGAAACATGCCTTTCACGATAAAATTTTCGGCCCAAGACCAAGCCCTGGTGCATCAAGAAATATTACATTTATATTCAAAAAATGCCATCATACAGGTGCCCATGAACAGCCCAGGCTTCATAAGCAATTTATTCTTGGTGAAAAAGAAAGATTCTGGTCACAGACCAGTCATAAACTTGAAATACTTAAACAATTTTGTCAGATACCACCATTTCAAAATGGAGGGAATTTATTACCTCAAAGACCTGTTGATGTTCAACGACTGGTTGATCAAAATAGATTTGAAGGATGCATACCTTACGGTACCTATCCACCATTCATGTCAGAAATATTTACAATTCCTATGGCAAGGGAAGAAATGGCAATTCAAATCATTGCCATTTGGTTTATCCTCTGCACCTTGGTGTATCACCAAATTACTGAAACCAGTAATATCCCTACTTCGAAGCAGGGGAATAAGAATGATAATATATCTAGACGACATACTGATTATGTCACAGAGTGTGCAAACTCTTCAACTACATTCTCAATGGACATTGAATCTGTTAACAAGCCTTGGCTTTGTAATAAATTACAAAAAAAAAAAAATTAAAAAAAATCGATTTTAACTCCCTCTCAGGAGATAGAATTTTGAGGATTTCTAGTAAATTCCAATTTAGCCACTCTCAGCCTTCCATCACGGAAGTTGAAAACAATTCGAAAAGAGATCAGGTCATTTCTAAAGAAGGAATTAATTTCCATCAGGTCGTTAGCAAGGATTGTAGGACTTTTATCAGCCTCGATCCAGGCTATCTTTCTAGCCCCCCTTCACTATCGGGCTCTTCAAAGATTGAAAAGAGAACATCTAAACAATGGTCTCCTTTATTCAGACGAGATTTCTCTAACTTCAGAGACAAGAATAGAACTTTCCTGGTGGTTAGATCACGTTCAAATTTGGAACGGGAAAGCCATTTTCACGTCATTCCCAGACCTAACTATAGAATCCGACGCAAGTCGTTTAGGCTGGGGAGCTCATTGTGGAGGCAATTCCACAGGAGGCAAATGGTCTCTAGAAGAGACGAATATGCATATAAACTGCCTGGAACTCATGGCAGGGTTTTTCGCTCTACGCAGTTTTGCGAAACAAATCCCATTGTTGTATCCTTCTCAAGATGGACAACATATAAATCGCTTAGGAGGTACAAAAACCAAGCAACTGGCCGACATTGCCAAAGAATTATGGCATTTTTGCCTCGATCGAAACATAACGTTACGAGCAGAATACCTTCCCGGCCTTTCCAATACAGTAGCAGATTGGAATTCCCGCTTCCTAGTGGATTACAGCGACTGGATGTTGGATCCCAACATCTTCCAACAAATACTTGCCCTGTGGGGTCCATTTCGATACGACCTCTTTGCATCACGGCTCAATCGCCAATTGGAAACATTTTTCAGTTGGCGGCCGGATCCAGAAGCAGTAGATCAAGATGCTTTCCTCCAATGTTGGAAGGAAGGGGTCAATTATGCTTTCCCCCCGTTTACGATGATATCCCTGGTACTTCTGAAAACATGGTCCCAGAAATCGACCTTAGTGATTATAACCCCTCTCTGGCCATCACAACCATGGTTCCCTCAGCTTCTCAGCATGCTGATAGACTACCCTCGACTCATACAGATGCGCCAGGATTCTCTTCGCGACCCGAAGGGAAATTGCCATCCTCTAGTACTGTCGGGCCAATTACCCCTGATTGCATCCCTCATTTCGGGCCATTCGAACCTCATAGTGAATTTTCAAACACTATTAGAAATATTCTCTTAGAAGCATGGGCACCGGGAACCCGTGCAAATTACAGATCAGCCTGGAAAATTTGGTTTAATTGGTGCATGGAACGGGCAGTGGATCCCATACATTCAGATTTAGCAAACATTCTAAATTTTTTGTCAGCCTCTTTTGATTCAGGGAAAGCTTATCGCACCATTAATGTCTATAGATCTGCTATCTCAGCGAATCACGACCCTATTGAATTTTTCCTTGTGGGTAAACATCCTCTAGTCTGCAGACTTATGAAGGGTATCAGATTTAAACGTCCTCCATGCCCTAAATATAATTCCACCTGGGATGTTACTCTGGTACTCCAGTTGATAGAATCATGGGGGGCCAATGATTCATTATCCTTAAAATTGCTTTCGCTTAAGCTTACCACTTTACTATGTCTCATCTCTTTCAAAAGAGTTTCTGACGTTAAGGCTTTAGACTTAAATAATAGACAATATACTCCTGATGGTGTTACATTTTCTATTGTTAGACGTACCAAAACTAATCTCCGTACTGTATTCTATCCTTCATTTTCTGACCATCCTCTTCTATGTGTTGTTAGTTGTCGTCAAACATATGAGTTTCAAACCTCTTTGATTCGAAATTCTAATCTCTCACAATTACTAATCTCCTTTCGTAAACCTTTTCTACCTGTCTCCTCTACATCTTTAGCTAGATGGGTACGACAAACCATGTCTATGGCAGGTATTAATATTTCAATGTTTGGAGCTCACTCATCAAGAGGAGCTATGACTACTAAAGTGTTTCAAGCAGGAGGCTCTTTATCAGATCTATTAAAAACAGCAGATTGGTCTTCAGAATCTACATTTAAACAGTTTTATTTTAGACCTAGCCAGCATGTTTCAAAAATAATATTGTAATAACTTCCGATGTATGTTATATTATGACTACATAGCTCTGAACATACATAATACGAGCCTCCTGTCTTGTTATAAAATTCAAGATTTTCCTAGTCTTGACGTCAGAAAATATAGATTTTATTAAAGACAGGAGGCGAGTATTATCCCTCCCATTAACCCACCATGTTATTTATATTTCAGCTTAATCCTGTTTGGAGTTTCATCATTCTATCCTTGGAGCTACTCTACTAGACACTTCTACATTCGCAGCTCGAAAGAGGGAGAATATTGGGGATCATGCACTATATAGACTATGCCGGATGCTGATTGGCTACCAACGTTCCATTTCAGTTACTCTGTTTTACCTTTTTTTATTCACTAAACTTTATTGAAAAAATGTCTTTGCTGCTGGAGTTAAGTAAAGAAAGTTAATGCATAATACTCGCCTCCTGTCTTTAATAAAATCTATATTTTCTGACGTCAAGACTAGGAAAATCTTGAATTATAGATCCTTTTATGCGATTTGACAAAAAGAAAGTACACACCCCCAATGTTACCCAGGAGGTAATTCAGTGCTAGGACAGACAGGGTTATTCACTAAACTCCAAACTTTACTTGCTATGGACTACATCTCCCAAGATGCTTTGCCAGCATTACAGCTATAAAAGGATTAAAGGGAGATGGCTAACAATAACCAAGATAAAGCAGGAGAATTATTTGGAGATGGCTATCATTATTCGCTGTAATTCAGACTTCACTAACGGCGTAACTGAGAGCGAGATTTACTAAACTCGGAGTCAGTGAATTCTAAACAGAATGGCCAAAGCAGGGGAAAACAATGGCCAAAGAAGTAAACATTGTGTCAGCACGATACACACTGACAGACCCAATAACTGCTCCCACCCACAGCCTCGGGCACTCCACCTGCCAGGGACTACACCTCCCATGATGCTCAGCAAGACCTTCTACAGGCAGCGAGCGGTTGGCCGAGCATGCAGAGAGTTGGAGTACCCCCGTGTGCTCAGTGACAGTCTCTGTGAGGGGGATGTAGTCTGCAGTAGGTAGAGTACCAGTAACTGCTGTCCAACTGTCAGCCAGCCCCGTCCGCCATTTTAGAGAGTTCACACCCCAGCAACCCCGCCTTCCGCTGGCAGCCCCTCCTCACCTGTCCTCAGATCGCCACCGTCCGCCTCCGTGTGTGACCGACAGCCCGGCGGACAGACAGAACTCCGCGTCAACCGCTAGCCGAACCCCTCAAATAAAAAAAGGCGGGAAACAAAAACCAACCTGAGCTGCGCGCGCCAAGTCCGTTACCCGCTCACCGCTCGGCCGCCTCGCGCAGTTTTGGAATAGTGTTATGAGCGCCAAGCTATGTGATTGGCTGGCGTCCAGCACCCCCTCGCTGCTGATTGGTCGGTTACTGGCCGTGTAGGCGGGACAATGAAGCTGTCTGGAGGAGGCCACGCCCTCCCGCTTGGTGCTGCAGAGAGGAGATAAAATGGAGGCGGGCAGGGGGCCAGGCTGGGAGGTGCAGTGGGTTAGATATACAGTATTGGAACAGACAGCACTGAGGGCGGTCACAGTAACCGCACAGGAAGTTCTGATATCAGCTGTAACCGTTACATCGCTGTCAGGCAGAGGGAGAGAGATTTAAACATTTCCTCATTGTATAGCTGCCATTAATCTTACATGGAGCTCTGCTAACACTGCATTTAGTGATTGTATAGCTGCCATTTCTCTGTCAGTGTCTCTAGATCTGCCATTAATCTTACATGGAGCTCTGCTAACACTGCATTTAGTGATTGTATAGCTGCCATTTCTCTGCCAGTGTCTATGGATCTGCCATTAATCTTACATGGAGCTCTAACACTGCATTTAGTGATTGTATAGCTGCCATTTCCCAGTCAGTGTCTATAGATCTGCCATTAATCTTACATGGAGCTCTGCTAACACTGCATTTAGTGATTGTATAGCTGCCATTTCCCAGTCAGTGTCTATAGATCTGCCATTAATCTTACATGGAGCTCAGCTAACACTGCATTTAGTGATTGTATAGCTGCTATTACTCTGTCAGTGTCTCTAGATCTGCCATTAATCTTACATGGAGCTCTAACACTGCATTTAGTGATTGTATAGCTGCCATTTCCCAGTCAGTGTCTATAGATCTGCCATTAATCTTACATGGAGCTCAGCTAACACTGCATTTAGTGATTGTATAGCTGCCATTTCCCAGTCAGTGTCTATAGATCTGCCATTAATCTTACATGGAGCTCTGCTAACTCTGCATTTAGTGATTGTATAGCTGCCATTTCCCTGTCAGTGTCTATAGATCTGCCATTAATCTTACATGGAGCTCTGCTAACACTGCATTTAGTGATTGTATAGCTGCTATTACTCTGTCAGTGTCTCTAGATCTGCCATTAATCTTACATGGAGCTCTAACACTGCATTTAGTGATTGTATAGCTGCCATTTCCCTGTCAGTGTCTATAGATCTGCCATTAATCTTACATGGAGCTCTAACACTGCATTTAGTGATTGTATAGCTGCCATTTCTCTATCAGTGTCTATAGATCTGCCATTAATCTTACATGGAGCTCTGCTAACACTGCATTTAGTGATTGTATAGCTGCCATTTCCCTGTCAGTGTCTATAGATCTGCCATTAATCTTACATGGAGCTCTGCTAACACTGCATTTAGTGATTGTATAGCTGCTATTACTCTATCAGTGTCTATAGATCTGCCATTAATCTTACATGGAGCTCTGCTAACACTGCATTTAGTGATTGTATAGCTGCTATTACTCTGTCAGTGTCTCTAGATCTGCCATTAATCTTACATGGAGCTCTAACACTGCATTTAGTGATTGTATAGCTGCAATTTCCCTGTCAGTGTCTATAGATCTGCCATTAATCTTACATGGAGCTCTAACACTGCATTTAGTGATTGTATAGCTGCCATTTCTCTATCAGTGTCTATAGATCTGCCATTAATCTTACATGGAGCTCTGCTAACACTGCATTTAGTGATTGTATAGCTGCCATTTCCCTGTCAGTGTCTATAGATCTGCCATTAATCTTACATGGAGCTCTGCTAACACTGCATTTAGTGATTGTATAGCTGCTATTACTCTATCAGTGTCTATAGATCTGCCATTAATCTTACATGGAGCTCTGCTAACACTGCATTTAGTGATTGTATAGCTGCTATTACTCTGTCAGTGTCTATAGATCTGCCATTAATCTTACATGGAGCTCTAACACTGCATTTAGTGATTGTATAGCTGCAATTTCCCTGTCAGTGTCTATAGATCTGCCATTAATCTTACATGGAGCTCTAACACTGCATTTAGTGATTGTATAGCTGCCATTTCCCTGTCAGTGTCTATAGATCTGCCATTAATCTTACATGGAGCTCTAACACTGCATTTAGTGATTGTATAGCTGCCATTTCCCTGTCAGTCTCTATAGATCTGCCATTAATCTTACATGGAGCTCTAACACTGCATTTAGTGATTGTATAGCTGCCATTTCTCTATCAGTGTCTATAGATCTGCCACTAATCTTACATGGAGCTCTAACACTGCATTTAGTGATTGTATAGCTGCCATTTCCCAGTCAGTGTCTATAGATCTGCCATTAATCTTACATGGAGCTCTGCTAACACTGCATTTAGTGATTGTATAGCTGCCATTTCCCAGTCAGTGTCTATAGATCTGCCATTAATCTTACATGGAGCTCTGCTAACACTGCATTTAGTGATTGTATAGCTGCCATTTCTCTATCAGTGTCTATAGATCTGCCATTAATCTTACATGGAGCTCTGCTAACACTGCATTTAGTGATTGTATAGCTGCCATTTCTCTGTCAGTGTCTATAGATCTGCCATTAATCTTACATGGAGCTGTGCTAACACTGCATTTATACAATCAGCTATACAATCACTAAATACAGTGTTAGAGCTCCATGTAAGATTAATGGCAGATCTATAGACACTGATAGAGAAATGGCAGCTATACAATCACTAAATGCAGTGTTAGAGCTCCATGTAAGATTAATGGCAGATCTATAGAGTTCAAATATGAATAAAAACCTTAAGCAGCAAACTCGTTTCGGCAGTTATGTGGGGACTTGGAAACCAGCTCTTGAAGAAGGCTGATCGCTAACAGTGCATTGGGTCCTCCCAGAGCCACCATGTGTTATTACTGCACACAGTATTAAAGGGTTAATTCCTCTAGGGCAGGGATAAAATGTCATAAATGTAAAATGGAGGAAACTGCTTTTATTAATCATTTTACTATTACTGCTTATAGTTTCCACATGGGGAAAGCTTAGAAACATTTAGCTGCAATAAGCCTTGGTCTCAGCCTTGCTGGGAGAAATAATCCTGATTGAAAATAACTGTCAAAAGAGGTGAGTTTAAAACGTAGACGTGAAATTTGATCTTAATAATCAGGAAATTAAAATTCTGGTAAGTATGAAACCATTTTCCATGTTGGATGAGAACATCAGAACATATCTCATATTGTGTTTAAATTCTAAACCTGTATAAACTGTCTCTTTAAGTAGGTTTGCCCAGTGGTCTGATTACGGTCTTCTTAAGTAGTAAAAGTTTTCTTTTTCTTTTTTTTTAAGCATTTTATTGGCTAAGACGTTTAATATAGCACATAAAACTGAAGAATAACTTGAATAACATTTTTAAGGAAAGCGATCTTGTGAAATAAATACAATTGTATTCTGTTGAGGTATTTAAAACCGGGACAATTTTAACAGCAGAGAAGAACCGGTTTGGCAGAAACTAGATCTAGTGTCAGTCCCTTCATTGGCTTCCTATAAAATATAGAGCTCAATTTAAAATTCTGGTTCTTGCTTTCAAATCTCTGCATAATGCTGCTTCCACCTATCTATCCTCCCTTATACACAAGCATGTCCCGTCTAGGCCCTTACGATCTGCTGAAGACTTACGTCTATCTTCTGTCCGTACTCCCACCTCTGATGCTCGCCTTCAAGATTTCTCGAGGGCTGCACCGTTCCTGTGGAACTCGCTTCCCTCCTCCGTTAGATGCTCACCCAGTCTCCACTCCTTCAAAAAATCATTAAAAACCCACTTCTTCATAAAAGCGTTTCAATTAAACTGTTAATAGCTCCCGACTGATTCCTCTCTTGCAACTGTCATTAGTCTAATACTATCCTTACCTTTTGTGTCACTTTACCCCACTCCCTCTAGCATGTAAACTCACTGAGCAGGGCCCTCAGCCCCTCTGTTACTGTCACTATACCCCATTCCCTCTAACATGTAAACTCACTGAATAGGCCCTCAATCCCTCTGTTACTGTGTCACTATACCCCATTCCCTCTAGCATGTAAACTCACTGAGCAGGGCCCCCTGCATTAAGAGAAGCAGTGTGTGTGTGTGTGTAAGGGAAGCATGGTGTGTTTATGTGTGAGTGTAGGATGCATCCCTACTCACATATCGGGGTCTGTATGTGAGTCGGGATTCATTGTATGTTTCTGTGCATGTGTGTGTAGGCATGCATTGTGTGTTTCTGTGTATGTGTAAGGATGCATGTGTGTGTGTAGTGTAAAAGTGAGGGTTTGTGGGTTAGGATCGGGGCTGAGAGGGGAGCAGCTCTTTATTTTTATTATATTTATTTTGTTAATATAATTTTTTTGTATATTTTTTCTTTGTTTTGTGTCTTACACCCCCTTTAGAGTATCCCTTACAAGCCCCTTGTGTGTCTATTATCCCCTCTCTTTGTATGTCTCCTAAATCTTCCAAACCCCTTTGAGTGTCTTGCCTCCCCAAGCCCCTTTGTGTCTTACTCTTCCCAGCTCCTTGGTGTCTTCACTCCCCCCCCCCCGGCCCCTCTGTGTCTCCCTCACAAGCACTCTGTGTCTCTCTCTCTCTCCCCTACCAGCCCTTCTGTGCTTCACTCTCACCCCTTCCTCAGCTACTCTGTGTGTCTTACACCCCTCGTCCCTTAATGATCTCTACCACTTCCCTCCTGTCCCTTAGTGTTGTTCCCTTCCCTCCCATCCCTTAGTGCTCTCCCCTGCCCTCCTGATTCTTAGTGCTCTCCTCTCCCCTCCTGTCCCTTTGTCATCTCCTCTCCCCTCCTGTCCCTTAATGCTTCCACTGACCCTTAGTGCTCTCCCCTGCACACTGCCCCTGTTCCCATAGTGCTCTCTCTCCCTCCTGTCAGTCTCTCCCCATCTTCCCTTATTGGTGTCCCCCATCTTTCCCTTAGTGGTCTATCCCCAATCTTTCCTTTAGTGGTCTCTCCTCCACCCACATCTTTCCTTAGTAATCCTCTCCCCAGCTTTACCTTAGTGGTCTCTTCTCACCCCCCCTCCCATATTTCCCTTAGTGCTGTC